AAGAAGAAAAAAGAGAGAATGGAAGACAGATAATTAATTGCACTTGAAGAAGAAGAAGGGAAAAGTAACACAATAACATTCTACCCAAGATTACGTTCTACAACAACAGAATTCAGACCCAGGACCGACAATGTCTTAAAGAAGAAACATTGTGATCTAATAATTGACAAAGTAGAAATATTGCAACCGTGGAAAAACTTCCATCATCTGCTCAATGGAGGAACTGATGAAGAGGGGGAAGCACGGGATCTGCTGATTGCGGAACAGCCCAATGGGATCGCTTCTAAAGAGGATATTACAAAAGCAATAAAAAATAATAAAGTCCCTGGCGAAGACCTACTTCTTCTAACGTACTTCTTCTAAGACTAACCTCCTTCACAGGAAAAGTATTGGGATGCTTCCAGAGCGGTTTCAGAGCAAATTGGTCAACAAGGTACCAGCTAGTTTACCAATAGGTAATTGCTAGAGAAGAGCTGGAAGTTCAATCAAGACCCCCTCCAGTTATTTACAGATTTTCAGCAGGTATACGACAGCGTAAAACGAAGGCTGGCATCCCACCTAAGCTTCACTGAATAATCAGAGCCTGTCTTGAGGGTTCTAGGTGCAGAGTAAATGTATTGGTGATGACCTCTCAGAGGTGTTTCAGGTGAGCACAGGTCTTAAACAGAGAGACGAACTATCACCCACATTTTTTAATATCGCATTGGAGAAAGTCGTAAGAGAAGCCAAAATCTAAACTCAGCTATTCAGGGCCAGTGGATCCAACTTCCTGCTAGCATATGCCGACGATATAGACGTGGTGAGCATAAGCGTCTTAAGAGTAAAAGAACTACTTTACAAAATCGAGAAAGAAGCTCATATATAGGCCTTAAAGTCAACGAGGTCAAAGCAAAATAAATGCGTGTCTCAAGACAGGACAAAATGTGACCATGGACACATACAACTTTGAAAACGTAAAACAATTTAAATACTTAGGGTCCACAATCACATCCGACAACGACATGACATGAAGTGAATCAGAGAACTCCTAAAGTTAGCCAATAGGTGCTTATACGCTCTAAAGGATATACTAGAGTCCAAATACGAGACTAGGAGAACGAAAATCGAAACGTACCAGACCCGTGGTATTGTACGGTTGCAAATCCTGGATTCTTACGCTGCGAAATGGGGAAGTAATTCGAATATTGGAGAGAAAAGTGCTCTGAAAATTTTCGAACCCACTAAACACCAGGATACAAAGACAAATATTGAACCAATCAGAACTGATTAACCCCATCAAGGCACCAAGGTTGAGATGGGCAGGGCACGTACGAAGACAGCCACAGGGTAGAATAGTCTACTTAATATGGGAAGGAAGAGCACCACTTGGAAGGCCGAGATTAAGGTGGCGTGATAATAAAGCATCGGATCTCCGGAAAATGGGCATCAAGAATGGTCGAGAAGTTATGAAGACCAAGACAGATAGAGGCACATCGTTGCCTCAGCCAAGGCCCACACGAGCTATGACTTCCTCCACTTCAACTTAAGGGCTTGTCTGCCATTGAAGCTCTAAGAAAATTCAGCAAAACGCTGGTCCGAGAACTCATGCAAAAATAAAGCAACTGATTCCGCCGCTCTTTGTTCGCCACCGAAATTGTTCTAACGAAGAGTGAGGAAGACTTCCAAAGATGTGGGCTGACTGTAAATTATTGTAACATTATGAGATATTAATATCACGTCGAAAATTTCATTTTGACTAACGAGTGGTCCCATTTAAAAGCTGCGAACTTTTGCTACTGAACTTCCTTAACAGCAAAAACTGGTTGTTTCTTGGTTTTCGCTTTTGATTCCAATTTACTTCTTATACTATTACTTTGGTGTAAATTTTGCTGATCTCTGAGGCTCATCATCTAGAGGCAGCATTAACATAAATATGTAAGTCGTTGTAGGGCGATTACTTTTGCATTTGGTCCACCACAGCATTAATAAAAAGTCAACAAACAACATGATGAAGAAGTTTTCAAGTGGAAACAAATGATTGTAAAGGCGACCCATTTCGCGAGCGCCTCGTGGCATTCACTTCTGAAAGCACGTTTGTCGACTTGGCCGTGAAAGACCGGGAAGTGGAGAGGTACAAGTCGAGGCCAACAACCTGCGATGGCCGAAATAAGCCAGCCAGAGCCATGGCGAAGACACGACTTCCACGGCTCAGCGCCGATGGAAGATGAAGAGACAGCTAAAGTGGAGAAGATAAACGATCGAAATATAGGAAACGTGGATTTTTATCATCTGCTACAAGTAGTTTATTTGATAGATAACACATGCACAGTCAGTCGAAGAAGCCGATCAATTAGTAGACAAACGAACGTGTGAAGATGCTGATGGGTTGAAGCAACTGACAATGTTTGTGTAAAATGAAAAAGAGACTAGGAAGGCAACTTGTGATTTTTTAGCTGCTACAACAAAAATGTACAATTTTGCCTTTAGGACGAGGAAAATTAACCCATCTTTACCAGAAAAAAATAAAATTTACTCTAAAATTAAATAAGAAAGCAAACTTTCAAGAATTTCCCAAAGCATCCAAGTCAAATGAGATCATTCAATATTCGGGAGCTGATCGATAATCAAACTATTATCAAATTGATAACAAGCGAAACTGAAATAAATCGAATTGTAAAGCAAATAATTTTTCAAGCAACAAATAAGCAATATTTTTCCCTGAGGTCTTCATTTTCGACACATGTTTTCCACCTAATGAATTAATAAAATGAAAACGTATCTGTAGTGAACTGAGCTTTCTTCTCGACTATTTCAAACGGACATGCCATGTTAGGCCATATAGAATAGGAATAATACAGAAATTCGAAACTTCCAAATCGTATTGAATGGTTTCCTTTCTGTCCAGAAAACGGACAAAAGAGAGAAAACACGCACCCGCCGGGTATCCAATGTAATTGATAATGAAAGATGAGAGCAATTCTTAGATGCCTTATTGATTTAAATAAAAAGTATCAAGTTTCTCTATAAGTAATCCATTAAATGAATGTAAAATGAAACGTCGACCGTTAAAATTACATGATTGTTTACGAATTTAAAAATGAGAAAATTAAGTTATACGTTCCTAGAAAAAAAGTGTTGGTAAAAAGTAAATTAGAGAAAATGTTGCATCTGACTGTACTTTGCTGAGCACGAAATCAATTTTAGAAAAAAGCGACTTTTCGGTGTTCATTAATGATTGTCAAGTTTCTAAGAATCGACATATAAAATTGATAAAGATAATGAAATAACTAAAGCGAAGTGAAACATAACTTAATTAAAATTAAATAATTAAATTATAAAAAGCAATTAAATAATTCAAACAATGACAAACATCATTTCGTTTCGGATTTATTTAACGAAATATTTATTGGCTGGTTAATAAAGAAGGCCCAAGAAACACTGCAAAAATTGAAAATCGTTCTAACTGGTGTATAATTCGGTTGTTCTCACATCGAAACCATATAAGAGATTCCACCAAAAGTAGTATTTAAGCAACACCATTTTATCGAAAATCTTGCTGAAAATCTGTATGTGTGTCATCGGTGGTTGGAGGAAAATCTCCTTGAAAACTCTTGATAATTTTTGACGAATAAATGATGATGATGAATTAATTATTTATTGTGTTTTGTCAGTTTTGCATTAATATTTTTGTTAGTTGTTATGAGCTTTATTTGTTTATTTTCATTTCCTGTTAGAAATATCCATTTCGCTCAAACTGACTCTGAATTTGAACTCGATTAAAGGTACCAAAGCCCTTGCTTGGCACGTAAGAAGGTGGTACCGAGTCAACCCCATACGGAAACCCACAGATAAAAATTATATCAGAAATTAGTAACAAGTAAATAAGTAGTCACTCGTACGTAAAGCGCTGGCTGAAAAAAGTGGTGCCTAATCAACTGTCTATTAAAAGTACCAAATAAATAAATGGATAAATAATAGAAAAATAATCAGTTCATATAAAAACAACATAAAAGAGACATTTTATTAACATGAGACAATAAAACGGCAGCTTAACTAGTTAGTTAATTTTTAAAGGTCAATTCGCCAGTCAGGCCATGGAGTAAGTAAAATAATTTTATTCCTAAGCTCCAGATCATCGTAGAGCAATAATTAAACGCTTAAAATTTGCATTAAAATCAGCAATTAAGTAATCAATGTGTATATTTTATCTGCATACAATTTACTCTTCAGCTTTTAACATTACAAATTCTTTATTTTCAACTTAATGTTTAAAAAATTTACCCTTCAGTAATCAATTTTTCCTTTATTGTACGTTATAGTATAACTCTCTACAACTAAAATAGTCCTATGCAGAAGTCTCTCCGACGTCTCAAAAAAAACTTATTTTCAATCTTTTTTACTTTTAACATAACAAATAGGTGAAATGAACGAAAAGTTATAAATATTTGAAGATAAAATTTATGCCACTTATAAAATGTACAAAAACCGTCAAAAGGTTATAGTACAATTTTTTAAACTAAATTAATTACAGAAAATTAAAAAAAAAACGCTAATATTGTCGGTTTTTTTTTTGAGTAAACGAATGAACGGCTTTTAGATTAGTTTGTGCCGTATTGTAGATACATATTTTTAATACTTGAAAAAAGTATTAAACTTTTTTCAAAAGCTTTACCGGGCCAAAAGTTATGCGCAAAAAAACGGCTTTCGGCACTTTCTTTGATTATTTAATCAATGTTCCACAGCCGGAAATCGCGCGCAAACTATTGTCCCAATATTCTGACATCTTTCTGAACAACTTCCAATAAATTATGTACCTAATCCATTTAATGCCCGAAACAAGCCTTTTAAAGTCTAATCTGACTGGATTATTAATCAAGAGGGAATGCGTGGCTCATATGCGGTAAGATGTTTGGCTGCTGCCACCTGTGAGGTAGTTGATAAAGCCGCCACAGTCTGATCTTTATAACTGTATAATAATAATGGGATCTGTAATCAGTCTTTATCTACGTGTATAACCTTACTTCTAAAATAATTTTTTTTTTCAAGATAGTAACATTTGCAAACCCTCATCGAAGTTTAGAAAGTTACTTTTTGCACTGAAATAAAAGTAGTAAATTTAAGAAAATGGGTAGAAAAGTGACAATTGCTTCTGCAACACTTAATCAATGGGCTCTGGATTTCGAAGGAAATCTGGATAGGATTTTACAGTCGATCATGGACGCTAAAGAAATGGGGGCCACATTCCGAACTGGTCCTGAATTAGAAATTTGGTTAGTATCAGAGGCAAATGGATACAGGAAGTTTTACATTGAAATATTCAGAGACGCATTTGGATGCTAAAGTATAAGAATCTTTGACCAACGAATATTCGAATATTCAGTGCAAATTGCCCACTTTGTTTCGATATGGACATGTCTTTGCGGTCAAAAAACCTCAAAATTACTATCTTAGATAATAATCCAGCAAAACAGAAAAAAGCAGTAAAATCATGGATAGCTAATTTTCATTTTTAGGTGTTTTGTTTTTACTTGCTCGTATCGTTTATTTTTCTAAGTTGGAAGGTAGTTTCAGCTTTACTATTTGTTGCTTCTTATTGTCAATGCGACTTTAAACTTGTTTGAAGACTCTGGACTTTCTGTCAATTGCAAAGCAATTTGTTGTGTTAATTGCCTTTTAGGTACCTGTTATGGTATGTTTCTGTTTAAAACCATCATCATATCAATGTTTGCGCAAACTTAATAAAACTAGTGATGGGAACTATCGAATTATTCGATAATTGTAATTTATTCGAACTATTCGATAGCCATGTTTTAATTAACACTATCAAAATATTCGATATTTTGAAGTAGTTAATAAGTTAATTTGAAATGTAATTAATTTCAATATTAATTTACTAAATTTGGTTTATGTCCAATAAATAAAAAAAATAGTAATAATAAAAACAATTAAAATTGTAATAGATTTTTGGGAAAAGTTTATAGTAAATTGTATTCATTTTGATGATTAACTATTTTTATGTCAAAATGAACTTTTACCACTTTCAAAGAAAACGGTTCATATCCAAGGCTCCTAAAACCTTTCTTGGAATATGACAACGCATGCCCCCAAAATTCCGTTTCTTTCGTCTTGGGAGATTGAGGGCGGTGTCTATTAATCATCCTAACAATGGATCGCATAATTTCACGCTGATGAGATTTATAGGTATAAATCTCATCAGAGTGTTATAGTTTGTTATTTGTAATTTGTAACTGTCCTACACTGCACTAGATTGCGCGCACTATTCAATGAATAAATTAATTCGAATTATTTTATTCGAAAGTTGCAATCATTCATTTACTATTTAATAATTATTCGATAGTGCCCAACACTAAATAAAACATCAAATGAATGGTCACCTGGATACCCAGATCTCACGCCACTAGATTTGATTTTGTAAAGGCATTTAAAATCAGAATGCGAATCGAATTATGCGCAAATTGAGAAAAGGTTTATCAGATACGGCCCTGTAAATCTTGTGGAAAATTGTCAATTTCCACACAATGCACAAAACACAGCTAAAATTACAAAAATTATAATATTGTTAAAACAAAAATCTTAAAATAAACTGATAAACCAAAGTTTCATGTTTTTTCATTTTTCTGGTGATTGAAAATAATTTGCTTTCAACACCAAAAAAACTGACTGATTTTGCCAATGATATCAATACAATTTTATGTAATATTCTCCTTTATATGAGGGATTTTTGGCGCTCCAAAATCACGAAAACCGTCCTGGTGTTAGAATATTATCTGACTTCAAAAAATGATGCTCAAATTGAGAAAACGAGTCGCAATTCTCGTTTTGGTTTTGGTGGTCTTGAATCAAGACAGACCGAAAACAGCTTAGCAAATGTTCATACAAAAGTGATAAGTTTAATTACTTCAGAAGACTTAGAAATAAGGATTTTATTGACAAGAAGGCAAATAGGCAAAATTTTGGAAATTATAACCGGAAGTTTGGAGAGAAGGTACGAAAAAATATGATAATTCTGCCCAATACTTCCTCCAAGGCAATAGGTGCGGAAATCGGGCAGGACAAGTCATTTTAGATGTAGATGTTCCGCCTGAATAAAGTTCCTGTACAAAAACATTATCTCGTTTTTGACTTCGATTCTGTTAAGATTTCTATCTTTATTTCCACTAGCGGCGATTGTTTTCCATTTGTGGTCGGCATCTCCCAGTTTAATTATCTTCAGCCTTTAAACCAAAGAAGTTTCCCAACGCAAATTATAAAGCTATTTTGTTTCAGTGGCTACAATTGCCAAGATCATTTTTACGAGAGTGACACTTATTTGCACTCTTGGGAAGTACTAGCTGAACTTCTAAGTGCGCCCCTTTGCAAAGACATGTTAATAGATGTAGGCATTCCGGTGATGCACAAAAATGCTGCCTACAACTGCAGGTAATTTGAGAAAATCGTAAGTTTGACTTTCGCAATACCTAAAGTCTATACAATGGATTTTTAGACTAGTGTTCCTCAACAAGAGCATTCTGCTCATTCGGCCCAAGAAAGTTTTAGCTGGCGAAGGCAACTATAGGGAGCACCGCTGGTTTTCCACCTGGAAAAAAGTAAAACACGCCTCGAATTACAAAAATTAAATAAAATCTTCGTCGGTTCTAGGATAGAGTTACTGAGGATTTTTACTTGCCTAGAATGATATCAGCTATAACTGGCCAGAAAACAGTTCCTTTTGGCGATGCTGTGATTTCCACTTTAGATACCTGCATAGGTCAGCTTCTGTACAATTCAATAGGGATGCTTTATCATAGGTTTTACAGGCTTTGAAATATGTGAAGAACTGTGGTGTTCAGCCAGCCAACACATCCCACTGTCTTTAGATGGAGTTGAGATTATTTGCAATGGCTCTGGAAGCCATACGCAACTGAGAAAAAACTACATCTTAACGGATCTTGTTAAGAATGCCACCATGAAATGCGGAGGTAGACTATTAATTGCCAACTAAAAACTCTTTCATCCGCTGCTGCTTATTCCAGGTTGTTATGTGTTTAGTAACCTCAGAGGTTGTGATGGTGAAAGAGTGTATTTCGATGGGACTTCTTCCATAACTCTGAATGGCGCAATCATTTCTAGAACCAAACAATTCGCCTTGGATGAAGTGGTAGGTAGTCATTTCAACATTTTTCTAGAGCTGATCAGCGTATTTCCATTGGGCAGGAAGTGATCACTGCAACGATAGATTTAGAGGACATAAGATGCTACAGAAACAGTAAACGATCTTTAGCTGACTTAGCATCTGGTAGTCAAAGTTATCCTCGAATAGCTGTGGATTTTTCGTTGTCCCAAGACTTTGACGCCATATTGCCGACTGCGCATCCTATTAGCTTCACTACTTTAACACCCGAAGAAGAAATTGTTCAAGTAATATATTTTACGAAGGAATTATTTCAATAAGTTCGACTCCGATATACTCTTAGGGTCCTGCTTGCTGGCTTTGGGACTACCTAAGGCGCTCAGGTCAAGGAGGATTCTTTCTTCCTCTAAGTGGCGGAATAGATTCTTCTAGTACAGCAACCATCGTACATTCCATGTGTCGAATGATTGTAGACAATATCCAGAGGATTGGAGGTAATGAACCAGAGCATTGAAGTAATGAAGAATGTAATTTGAATTATGGTAGATCCGAAAGTGTTAGCTGATGTCAGGAGAATAACCGCAGATGCGGAATATACCCCAAAAAGTGCCCAGGAACTCTGCAATCGAATTCTAGTTACTTGCTACATGGGAACGGAAAATTCATCACATGAAACCAAAAATCGGGCCAATAGCTTGGCCGCAGCTATAGGAAGGTAACGTTAAATTCATTAAAGGTGATGGAAGGAAGGGGCAAATGTGTTGTTAAATGTGAAAAAAATTACCAATGGTACAAAAACCGTTAATCGGGTACGTTACTAGCAAGCACAAAAACTTCCATTGCCGTTTTATGTGTTGTCCAATTATCATTCTTAGAGAAAACGTGAAAACTCCGGATTTTTCACAGCTACCATCAGAAGATTGTCATCGATAAAGCAGTTAGTGCCTGTTTGGAAATCTTCAGTGTAATTACTGGCCTATTTCCGAAATTTGCCGCAAACGGAGGATGCGCCCGGCAAAACATGGCGCTTCAAAATATTCAAGCCAGAGTGCGAATGGTAGCTATTCTTCAATTTGTTATGAACAAATCGATATGGAAGGTTTTTTTAAATAGGTTCTCAGTTACCTTTTTGCTCAGTTGGTGCTTTGGGCACGAGGAAGGCCCGGAGGGCTTTTGGTTCTCGGTTCCGCTAATGTGGATGAAGCATTACGAGGATATATGACGAAGTATGATTGTTCCAGTGCCGACATCAATCCCATAGGTAAATCAAAAAACCCCAAAATTGTTCCTTTGAAAAAATGTTTTTTCCATAGGAGGCATCTCGAAGACCGATCTGCGCAAATTCATCCTTTACGCAAAGGACAAGTTCAACATTCCTATTCTTGGAGATATTTACTACGCCGTTCCAACAGCCGAATTAGAAGTGAGTTGCAATGTGGTTTGCTGTGAGTTCCTAATTTTTTTCAATCGCAGCCTTTAGCTCAGGGGCAAATAGCGCAAACAGATGAGCAGGACATGGGAATGACATACAGTGAGCTGAGCCAGTTTGGTAAGCTGAGGAAAATCGACAATTGCGGCCCCTTTTCCATGTACTGCAAGCTGGTGCAAACTTGGTCTGATACGTGCACTCCCAAGCAAGTTTCGGACAAAGTGAAACATTTTTTCCGGTTAGCATTGCAAGGTTTTGCAAATTGTCATTCATTTCACTAGTATGAAGCATTTGCTGAATTTGCATGTGGTTTTTCAGTTGTTATGCAATTAATCGGCACAAAATGACTGTATTGACGCCCTCCTACCATGCAGAATGCTACAGTCCCGATGACAATAGATTTGATCTGCGTCCGTTTTTGTACAGAGCAAATTGGTCTTGGCAATTTCGAGCCATTGATAAGCAGGTGAGCATCAATGTAAGACTTTGAAATAAAGTCTAATTGTTGGTTTATTGCAGTTGGATTACTTAAACAGTGTGAAGAGGAGCGCTTCCAGTAGCAGCAATCTGACCAAGAAATCCTCCAGCAACTCCAAAATTCGCACGGGTGTAACCGTATAGTATAGGGCTTTTGTGTAAAAGGTCCCAAGGTAACTCGCAGGAATCCTGCCATATCATTAGTACTTCAAGTACTTAAAGATCGATTTTTTTGTTGCTCTTTTGCAAGTCAATTGAACAAGGCGAAATCACTTTACTCCAGTTTTTCGACCAAACTCACTCTAAGGCCTAAATCTGTTAACGAAAATGTTACTATCTCTATTAGAGTTTGTACCCTTTACGGGGAATTTCTCAGGAAGCAACCTTCTTACTCATGTTGATGCCATATGCGATTTAAGATGAAAATACTGAAGTTATTTTTTAAGTTTTACTCTAAAATGTATTAAGCCCAATTTTGTAAATATCCGATATCCAAAATCATGATTATCAACGCAATTGCAAGTAGACAAATGTAGCAGCGAAAGTTAACGTAGATCAGTTATCTTTTAGAGTAGAAAATATGTAGACACTTTCGCGTCCAAAGCAATAGAATGTTAGTTTTTAAAAAAGTTAGTCCGATCTAAAGATGTATTCTGAATTTTCGCTGTTTGTAGTTCACAAAGTATTCTGTGATAAAACTGGATAAACATAAACCAACAATAAAGCACGCTTTCAGCACTTCAAGGAAACATTAGCACTTTTAATTAGTGCATTGCGAATAAACACAGTATAATTTCACACTGTCTCCTAGATAGGGTTGTATTAAATGTAGCAACAGAAAAGCTGGTTTTTGCTATGTGGAGATGGTGTGCTGTCTTAACTATACCCTCAGTAGATAACACTAAGTGTTACCGCAGTTGCAGTACACCTTCATTTAGTTGATAACACGACCATTAAAAAAATATATAATTTTCCGTTCAGCCAATTTGCAGTTTCATTTCAATTGTACATGGAGAAACAGTGCTATGTATTTTTTCCTTTTTTGCATTGTGACTCTAGTGCTTATGTGGTTCATAACGCATCTGCATAATATTTACAACCATCTCAAGGAGTTTCCCGCTCCCCCAATTGTACCGGTTTTGGGGCATGTGTTTGATTATGTGGATCCTAAAAGTTAGTATAAATTCACTAAAAAAACTATTTCAAATGCTCTCATTCAGTGAAATTCACGGAATTTTTGCCGTTTGTTGTTAAAACGTTTTTTTCAGAAGCTCTATCGATTCTTACAAATAATTTAGTTAATCATGGAGGAGTAATTCGACAATATATTGGCCCGCGAAAGCCCAGTTTGGCAACAGCAAATAGGGACTTTTTGCAGTTTTTATGCCGCCATAGTAAATACATAGGGAAAGCGAAATATTACCGATACTTAAAGCCATGGCTTGGAGAAGGCCTCCTGACCAGTGATGGTAGGATTCGAAAAAATCTATTTTTTTATGATCAAAATGGTAAATTATTCAGGTCACCAATGGTTATCCAGAAGAAAGGCCCTGACATCGAGTTTCACCCAATCGGCTGTGCTCAGGAACTTTGTTGGGGTTTTTGAGGAAAAGAGCGATCAACTGATTGAAGAGATAAATGGCCTCAGTGGTGATAAAGCCAATGTGCATCTTATAATGAAAAGATTCACTTTAGATGTAATTTGCGGTGAGCTTCATCTCACAAGCTTAGCAAACTTTGAAATTAGAGAATCTCAGAAGTTTGAAGAATTTATCAGTCGCGATTTTTTTTTAGAAACCGCAATGGGAGTATCCTTAAGCTCCCTTGCGAATTCAGCTGATTCAAACTACGCAATTAGTATTGAAAGCGTCTGCGAAGTGATCCAGAACCGAATGACATCCTTTATGAAGAATTTCGACTTTTTTTACCAGTTTTCTAGTGATTGCAAGAAGGAAAAGAAAAATTTGGCAGTTATTGATAGAATGTTGCATAAAATAATCAAAGCCAAACACCAAGAGAGGCAACAAATTGGAAATGCGAAAGAAAGAAAAGATATGCTCGATTTGATGATGGAGGTGGAGATTGAGGGAAAAACGCTGAGCAGCAGTGAGTTGAGAGCGCACATCAATAGCTTTACTTTTGCGGTAACTATATTTTGAGTCAAATCAGAAAATTTTGGTGTACAGTGTAATTTTGGTACACAACGTATTTAATTTTTTGGTGAGATTTTCTTGGTGGCAAACTGGATTTTTAATTTATTGCTTATCTCCTTAGTTTCCGCAAAATATTTATTAAAAATTGTTTTGCAATACACTTAAATAGTGATTTGTGTGGGACCAGAAACGTATGTTTTAGACTTTTACAACTGCCATAAAATAAGTTCAATAAAGCAGTTAAACTGCAAAGTTTTATGTTTCACTATAGCATCGTTATTTTATGTTTCGTTTTAATTATCCTTTCGTATTTTTATTACTACACTTGTTTCCAATCATTTAATGAAATTTCAGGTAATATTTGATTCTGATTGTTTCTTTTAGGGGTATGATACGACCAGTTCTGCTATGTCGTTGGTACTCTATGAAATAGCAGAAAATCCAAGTATTCAAGTAAGAGATTAGCAATGATTAAAAATGTGGAAACTTTCCTTGAAAATAGTGGACTAATTTATCGACTGGTCAACTAATTTATATTTTTCTATTTCGTTCATGTTGTGATTTTCTAGGAAAAACTGCTTGAAGAACAAATGCAAATATTCAGCGGAAAGTTGAATAACGCATCAGTAACTTATGAGATTCTACATAAAATGGCTTATTTAGACATGGTTATTAAGGAAACGTTGCGACTTCACACCATTGTTCCCTGTATCGGAAAACGAGCCACCAAAGACTTGCAATATGGTAATTTGCCGGAATTGTACTGAAAAACTTTAACTAATATCGAAAATCGTCAACGCAAAAGCGGAATAATCGGAGCGACATTAAATTGTCGCGTCGGTTATTCCGACGACTCGGTGAAGAAGAAGTAAACCGCAAAGTATGCTACGTTCCTTAAAACTTGCTCGAGTTTTCATAACTTTATAAATAAATAGCTTCTTGTAAACATTTTTTCCTAAACCTGCTTTAATTGCAAGTTAAATATTTAGTTTTACATCGTTCCGGTTCCAGGATAACAGGTTTCTTTGAAAACGACTAGACTTTGAGTAAACATAAATCGAACCTTTTTACTGCCGACAATGTAACTACAAATTTATTGACAAATCCCTTACTAAATAACTTAAAGATTTTAAAAAAACTTGTTTACAAAACTGCGGTTTAGAACTTGCATTGCAATCACATATTTTGAGAGTGGATGAGAATAAAATTGGCAACTTTCCTATAATTTGGACCTGATGTTATTTAATATTTTAGAGGGTAAAACAGTTCCAGCTATGCTGAACATAAACATTTGCATTCACGCGTTTCACCACAACCCGAATTACTTTCCGGAACCAGACAAATTTAATCCTGAAAGATTTGCAGATGAAACCAAAATTGATCCATTCGCTTATATCCCGTTTGGCGTAAAACCTCGGCAATGTCTAGGTAAAAAATGCTTTTTAATCCTTCGAACTGGTTAATTTAAGATGTTTTTGCAGGGAAAGAATTTGCAATGCTCGAGATGAAATGTGCCTTATCCAAAATAATCAGGAACTTTCAAGTGGTGAAAGTTCCAGATTTTCAGCTGGATCTGAGGCCGAAATTGGTGCTGTTTTCCGCCAATGGAATTTGGGTTGGGTTTAAAAAAAGAAGCGTGACCGATGAAAATGTGTAAAAGTTCGATTGATGAATCTCAAAACCCGAGGGGTGTAATAAATAAAATGCATTTAGATCCAATTGAAATAATATAATAATTCCTAGATAATAATAACGTGCAAAGATACGGTTTACAGGACATGTATAACAACAATAAGTATATAAATATAGAGGAGAAAGGTCTTAACATAACACATTGTCTTAATGTGTAATAAAAATATGCGTTAAAACTAAATAGCAAAACTAGGCAAAAAAACTACGATTTTACTATGGGTTGTCTCTTTTCTAAAATGACTTTGAATCCATCCGTTCTCTTCAAGATAATATCGGCTTGCAATTTGTAGTCGGTTTCTTTCAGATTTGATTTTATCTTGTAGCTGCGCATTATTGTTGAGAGCAGTATTTTCAGTTTAAGCATCGCATACTTTCGACCTGAAATATAAAAATCAAATAAAGCGACAAACGCCTTTAAAAGATCTTTTTTTTTTGTTAATATTAAAGTGCTGGTGAATTATTACTTTTATCAGCGTATTTCTCTTACAATTTTATATCATTTTTTCATTTTATAAAATCAAATTGATTAAATATTATTGTAATTACTTGGCTTTCCTAGCATAATTTAAAAAGGCAATTTTAGGAGTTTCGAAGTAATTAAACCTTTTATTTTCAATCTTTTTCAAACTGATATGGTTTATGTTATATGAAAATAAGTATTTTTTCATATTTTGGTTTTAAAGCTTTTCAATGCTCTTCATCACTTTTGATTCGGTTATTTTATCTGCAAATTTTAACTTGAATAATTATGCCATCATTCAGATTTGTGCAAGTAGATAACGGCCAATAAGAAAAAAGTGTAAAACATGGATGAATTAGAAAGGTAAAGTAACTACGTTATGAATGAAATAATTAGCAAAAAATTATATTCTTATCTTTCCAGGATCTCAGTCAAAGTGTGAAGTAAAAAATTTTGAATATCGTTTTTATCATTACGTTTCGGCGAGACAACAGAGCCATCATCAGATTTAAAATTCATACAAACTACAAACACCAATTTACAATTAAAATATGTTGTACAAAAAGTATAATTTATAAAGCGTCAAAACATTCATTAGTTCTTGAGAAAAATGAGAAAAGTGTGAAATAAAAATGTTGAATATCGTTTATTTGATTACGTTTTGGCGAGACAACAGCGCCATCATCAGATTTAAAATTTACACAAACTCATAATTGGTAAACATTACGTTCTTTTCTAAAAAAACCAAATTTAAGTTTCAAGACAGCAAAGACCTAAAAGAACGTAATGTTTACCAATTATGAGTTTGTGTAAATTTTAAATCTGATGATGGCGCTGTTGTCTCGCCGAAACATAATCAAATAAACGATATTCAACATTTTTATTTCACACTTTGACTGAGACCCAGGATAGGATTTAGGAAATTAAATCAAAATTAAGAAGAAAGTCAGGAAATTTGTGGTATTAAAAGTGCCGAAAGAGACTAATAATATAAATTATATTAGTAGTATTTGCTTTCAACAAACCCTTCCAATATTGCATAATAATGTTTTTTTTTATGTAAAGGTACTATTAAAGAAAAATCTGTTAACTGAAAGTTACTGCTCGAACACCAGATAAAATATTGATTTTCGCAAAGATCCAATCAAACCAAATTGGAAAAAAAATGAAGGGTAGCAAAAAATTTCACCGGATGCTTGAAAAAAAGACTTTGACATAAACGAAAATTATCAAACTAAACGAGAATAAACGAACAAACAACGAAGTTGCAGAATATATAAGAACGAAACAGCTTAATTATAAGATAACTTGAAAAAATAATACATATTTCAATTCATAGGAAAAGTGTGTGGAAATAAAGTTACTGACCTACGCAACTTCTAGGTCCAGCACTGAAAGGAATAAAAGAGTAATAATGTCTGCTGGCTGCTTTTTCCGGTAGGAAGTTGTCTGGATCGAACTGCTCCGGATTCGGCCCATAAATCTCCTCCAGTCGATGAATTTTGAACGTGCCGATTACAATGGTGGCTCCAGCAGGAAGCACATGATCAGGATTTGAAGCTGGAAAACAGTCCTGTTAAACTCATCAAATTATGGTCCTCCCAAGCTCTTCAAACCTAGTTTTACGTCCTGTTGAAGCTGACGAGCAATTATTGGCACCGGAGGAAACAGCCTGAGCGTTTCCAAGAGACACCTCTCCAGATATTTCATTTCTAAGGTATCGGCAAAAGTGGCCGGCCGGTCAGATCCTTGGAAAATCTCATCGATTTCCTGTATCAATTTAGCCTGGATTTCTGGATGGGCAGCCATCTGGCATAGAAAGAAGCTGGATCCGGCTGCCGTTGTGTCATGTCCCTCAAACATTATGGTGTCCACTTGCTCCTTGATTTCCTCATCGTTAATCACTACTCCGTTTTGAGAGGCTTCGATCATCAAGTCCAGAAAAGCCATGCGTTTTTTTTCACCTACATCGTCATCCACATCGAGATCATCCTTCAAACCCACTGATTGTCCATAAGAAGTAGCTTCCATCGAAACAGTTGATTGCTTGGGAGCCTTGGTTTCACACTTTGGAGCTTTTAACTCTTCAGGCACTTCTGCTGTAGATCCTCGAATGCCTTTGAGAAAATCAGCCTTCTTTTTTTGGATGACTTTGCGGGTCAAGCTGTGGATGATCTTTATGAGTTTTTTCTGGTATTTAGCAGCGTTGGTCAGATTGAAGAGTATATCAGGTCTCAACCAGATTTTCGTGTGGCGCAAATGAAGGATGTCGCAAAGTTTCATCACTGCCATTGCATAGTCGTAGCAGCTTTGATCTTGGGTTTTCTTGCTCACTCCCATTGCAGTCTCTGAAACGTTAAAATTGTAGTTGCATGTTTTCCCCGGAAAGGAACCGGGTTTTACCTAAAAGCATTTCAACAGTGGCCTCGGACATGTAGTCATGACAATCAAACTCCTTTCCCACTTCTTTCTTCATTTTCTCAACAGTTTCTCTGCTGTTTTTGTTGAAGAGATCAATAAACGACTTGAGTACATTCAAATGAAAAGTGGGCGCAATAAGTTTCCGATGAGTTCTCCACTTTTGGCCGGTTGATATGAGGAGGCCGTCACCCAACCATGGCTTGAAGAATCGATATTCTGGCGATCTGAATGGATTGGATGCTTGCCAATTATTGCTAATGCGAGTTCAGTAAGACTCACTTATCGATATGCACGTGACTGCTCAGAATCACTTCAACATCGCGAGGATCGGTGATGAAAATGAGTAGTCTTGGTCCCACCCATACTCTGGCAGTTCTTCCATACTCAAACGATTTTTTGTAAAAAGTGTTAAAAATTTCTGAAAACATTAATTTGTTAAACCACCAGTTGCTAGACAAATTTTATTTTATCTATTACCTAATTTTGTCTTTGCTCTATTTACTTCTTAATTTAATTATTGATGATAAAAAATTCCCCATGTGAAAAATTGGAACCTTTACATAAATTCTAGTTGATGTAAAGCAAAAATTACATAACAAATTTAATGCCCATATAAAGGCGAAATACTGGTTGTTCCAAGCGAGTAATACAATGATTGCAACTATCAACAGATTTTTATGGGATAAAATGTAACATTAACCTTCTTCTTCAAGCTAGCAATTGCGTATCGCTGCTAAGGTGAACTACTTGAATAGGACATAACATTATGCAACGAATTGTTTTTATACCTATATGGTGCATTTCTTGATTGGGGTCATGTTAAAAAATCAAATGGGGGCTGAAACGTCGATTAAGCCCTCTTCAAACGCTTAAAACTCCTTAATGTTTAGCGTTCTATTTGGTCAGAAGTGAAAGATTTTTTTCTGTTTGTTTTTGTTACGCAAAAATTATGAAATAATGAAACCAACCACGACTGCTGTTAATGCTAAACAATAACAAAAATATTAATATCATTTTGTAACAACATTCACTAGATTACTTACAAAACAAATGTTTATTATTGGAAAGTATTAAGTACAAAAGCTGAATAAATGTTGGTACTTTTAAGCATAGTGTTACGCAAAATGACTGAATGAAAATTGAAGACAAAATTCAGTGCACCTACTTTTGCAAGGCAATTGAGGTATTTTTCCAAGAGTAAGAGTATTGCTTAAAACACCGACTTGAGCTTTGAGGGAAAAGTCGTAAATTTTATTCAAATTTTTCTATTTAATCGTTATCAAAATCCCTACTTACTGGGAAATAAAAAGACGCATACTAGAAAACAAAAAGTTTTCATATTTAAAAAAATATGTTGAGCGCAATTGAGTGGGTCAAGTCAAAACAAAAGAAGGTTTTTCATAAAAAACTTAATTATTTCGAAATATCAGCTTCAAATTAATAACAAGTACACATAATCAGGCATATAAGGAAATTAAAAAATCACTGCTTACCATTAGGATTTCCAATGAACTCCAAAGCATTGCCCAAGATGGGTAAGCCTTTCGGTCCAGGAATTTTCTCGGCCAAATTTATCATGTGGCGTCTGGATACGCGCCAGTAAACATAGAATAACGCTAAAACCGGAACGAGTAGCGAAAAAAACATGCTGGTCGCAGATAAAGGGCCAGGATTTGATGAAAGCATTGGACTGATTGTTGATGAGGACATTTTGGTCAATTCTAGAACCTTTTTAAACAGCTATAAGCGTTGTTATCAAAATATGCAAAATGAGACAGTGTAAGATGCAATTTGTGTTTTTTCTAGGTCGAAAATTGCTAAACGCGATATTAAGTTGAAATTTTCCAAGACTGATTGTTTGCTTATAACGTTGGGCATTTTGGAATCATTAGCTGATGTATAAAAATAAATTGACAAAGCGCCTATTAAATGCAATAAATTTGTCTCTTATGACAATTTTTGAACCTTCCTATCCTTATATTTTAGGTTTAAAATCTCAAATGACAAAAGCTGTAAGTTTACGATACACGAAAAACAGCCTTTAAGTATTTAATTACCAAAAGCGTTGCGAAGAGTATCATTTTTATTATCAAAGTTAAGCAATATTATGGTTTTTCAAAAACGTTTGTTAAAAATTTGCATAAAGGATTTTTGACCAATTTTTTTGCATAAAAATACACAAGTACCAGTTGAAGGTGTTCAAATATCTTCCACGTTTTAACAAATTTGAGGCTCTTTACTGATTCACTTACACTAAACTTGTAATACACTCGCCTCACTAACTTTAGTGCTAATAAATGGTCTTGCTTTGATTTTTATACTTTTGCACGAACAGACGTCCACACGTCTTCCATCACTTAAACCTGTTTAGTCTTCAGCGTAAAAACCATAAGGTAGATGACGGTAGATGGCACCCTATGATTCTGATGTGTTATACTTACATAGAAAAAAATTAATTTGCTGTGGGAAAATTGTTGCATTATACACATGTCTGATCCTGAACAAAAGTGTGTCGCTAAACCCTTCCAAATGTTGCTTTATTTTAATCAGTGGACTTCTTTCGTGTATTTTCGGCCAAGTATTTTCTTATAATTTTTATGATTAAGTCATGGACTGGAAGCCAAAAGTAGAAATGTTTTTAATTCTTAGTTGACCTACTCTAGAAAATGAAACGTTGAGCTGATTGATGCTCTTTTAACTAGAAAAAAATTGTTTCATTTTCACTAAAATTGTTTGGTTCTCATTAGTTTTCAGCTTGAGGTGTTTCCAAAATTTACCTCGACTTTAAAGTATTGCCTTAATGTATGATTCATCTTATTTTTGTGCGGTTTATATAAGAAATTGTCGAAAATGTAGTTTAACCACAGCCACATTTTTTATAAAAAGTTGCGTGCTTTCTCTATTCAATTATTTTTCTGATTTCAAAATATCACTAGGTAGTTGAATTTGAGTTCATTATAATTACAAAACTGAAAGAAACTTTCTAGAAATACTGAAATCAGAAATTTTATCTTTTTTGTGGGCCTTTAAATTGAACCTGCTAAGATTTTCACCGCTTTAGGCGGCCGTGCAAGACTTTATTTTCTAACATTTCGCCAGCACGAGTGGCTTGCATCCTCAGAGCTACTTTGCTAAAAAATGCACACTTTAGTGTGTTTAATTAAATGTAACGGTGTTTTCCTATGCAGTCAAATTAATATTTGAACATATTTTCATTTCAGCAAGAAACATCAAAATTGTACTGGATAAAACAGCGGAATTTTTCATATATTTTAACAGACAAAAAATATGTTTGTTTAAAATAAAATACTTAATGCGCTTTAGTCTAATCCTCTGATACATTAGCTCATTTACACTCTGTTTACATCAAGATTCGATAATAATCGATCAATACTTACTGCAAATTTTTTGGACAAGTATAGGAAACACTGAAATTTATTAAAATTATGTTGCAAATTGGTTGCAGAAATATCTAGATCTTATTCATATATGTATGTGCGTGTTCTTTGTACGTGTAAAATTTTAAAAATACTTATTTTTATAAGTAGTAGCTTTTACGCTGAAAAAATATCAAGCAACCAACAATAAATCTCCCTATAAAAATAAATTATTTTATGTTTTGTATTAAATTTTTCAAGCGACTTATTCCACATAAACGCTCATTTTATGCTCTATAGAACTTTTTAGAAGCGCAATTTTCAATCTATATTTCCACCAGTACTAAAGTAATAAGAATCATAATAGACTAATCGTTGGATCCTGGTGGATATAAAGTAATCAAACTGTATAAATCATCAATTGTATTAATCATCGTAATCACCAGACTGGACATTGTGGACTTTGAACTTGTAGCGTAAGTTTTATACCGGCAAATGTCCATAAAACACGTTAGTGATCTAGTAAATGTATGAGTTGGGGGGAATTTTCTGGTAGTACTAGAAACTATAGTCAATAGTCATATGTTCTGAAAACGTTTCGATTGAAAGAGCGTGATGACATTAGAAGCGATTCCTTAGAACATGTTCATCGACGAAAATTGATAATAAAATATACAAGTTTTTTTTCCAAAAATTGTCTTGCAAAAATTCTATTGGAAGCAACTCATTGATATGTTAAAGCGAAAAAGAATAGCAGCAAAATAATTAACTTTTATTATTTAGTTGAAATCGAGTTTTTCTGATAAAACGAGAAGAAAATGAATTTCCAAACAAGAACATGATGAAAATGTGTTTTTGGATAGAAAATGGGCAACAGATTGGGCTTCATTTGCTCACAGTTCTCTGCTTCAATGGGATTTCTTTTTATATGACACGCTTGTAAATATTCGCTATGTTAACGTTTGAAAATTTCTTCAGGTGATTTATAAGATTGAGCAATGGTTACGATTACAGGACAAATAAATATTATTTTTTTTTATAATAACTGCAATTTATCGTTAAGATTCGATGGTTCATTTATAGGAGGAACGTGCGAGCGTTATTCAATTTCCATCAAAGACAAAAAAATTGATCTTCATCAAACTGTTCTACATTGGAATTCCACCTTTGGATTATTTCCCATTATCAACTTTTTCTAATTTTTTTATCAAGATCACTGATAAGTAACGAGTAACCTTTGTATAGGCCAATGGTTCAAAGTACAGTTGGTAGTACCGTTTCTACGGAATAAACTGTACATGATCACGTTGCCAACAAGGTTTAAATTAAAACTTGTCGTTTTAGAACGCATTTAAAAACTTAACGTGATCCTGTGCGCGTACACTTTGTATTTATCAGTGTTTTTTCTTGGTTTTAAATTTTATTCCTCACAAATCGGTAATATAATTTTTGCTTTTAGTTAAACGTATTACAATGTATATTTTTATAATTATGTTTTTTTTTCCGAATGAGGTGAAGCAAGGAAAGTTCTAGAATTTTTTTCAAAGCTGCTTATTTTTTTAAATCGACACGATTTGAGTTGATCTAGCTTTTAACTAAATAAATAATTAATTCTAAGTAAAAAACTTACTAATGTAAATTACGAAAATTATTTGGCAATTTTTTGAAATTTTGCGTCTTAAATAGTCATTACCTAAATGTGTATTTTTTATTGCGGAAATATCACAAAAAATAAGCTATTTTTAAGGAAAAAATGTGTTTTTCAGCAATATCTTTCACAAATTTTATCTTCAGATGTTTGTAATGTAAGTTGGGATTTTCGAATGTCGTTTTGAAACAACATTCGATTATTCAACGACCGCGAAGGTCGAGAACCTGCATATCTTAAATGATTTAGGGTCATATTAATAATAGAATAATATCTCTTTATCTCGAGCATATCTCAAGCTTCTGTCGCCCTATCTTTATTTAACAGCAAAGTGCCATCTTAACCAATATTTTACTAAATTGAGCGTCATAAAAACAATGTTCAAAGTCTTCAAAATGCTGCTACACGTTTTAGGTGGTTGACAATGAAAATAAGTGGTATTTTTGAATTGAAGGTCGTCCTCATGATAAGCAACGTGGATTCCTTAAATGTTTCGCTTTGTACCTACATGCTGTATAAAGTTCAATTTTAGTACATACGTTGGAAATTTAACAATTAAGTTTAAAATGTACGCAATTTTCAAATAAACTGCTGAATAAATTTCAATAACTCCCAATATTCCCTAAAGCTGGTTTGAGGTGAGGCTTGCATCTTCAGAGGTGGTTTGCTCAACTCGAAAAACTCATCAGTTTCATTTTTTCAATTGTTTTATTTTTCGGTTGATTCTCGGAAAGTTTTCTTTTTTTATTATTTAACTACTAATCTTCAACTTGAAATTTTTAGTAAACTATTTCGAATTATCAAGAATAATCGAAGAAAATGAAAACCACATAATAGTGATAAATTATATTATTACAAATGTAATTAACGCTCATAAACATGTTTCATCGGAAATCGCTACTAATTTTCGCACACCAAAACATGATTTTTCTATCGTCAAACTGTACTTTCCAGCATCCTCTGATAATTTGATGCACTTGATATCATCAATAACAATAATCGTTCTGTATTGATCAGATTCGAAGATTTTTGTTTTTTCATATAATGTTTTTTGTTGAAGAAAATGTCTGAAGCAGAGAACACTCCCCAACTTAGCGAGGAAACCGCAACTGTTCCGGCCACATGCATGGAATCGGTGAACCGATTTGCCAGATTGCCTGTTGTTGAATCGACCATTCAAACAGCCCACAATATTTACGAAAAAGTCAAAGTAATCGGTTGAGCTTATCCAAAAAAACATCGATTTTTCTACTGTAGATCTTTGCAGGATTTCAACAGTGTCACGAACTGGACTCTACAAACAGCTGAAAATACCGCTTTCAAGGCTGTCGATATTGCCAAGCCTTACGCTACTCCAGTTATAAAAAACTTTGAAGGCCCCATAAAGAAAGTGGATGATGCCTTGTGCTCTGGATTAGACTATGTGGAAACCAGAGTGCCCGCTGTGAAGCTTCCACCCAGAGAAGTACGTTTGATTCGGATGCTCATCTCATTGATTCGTTAAATTTATTGCTTCTAATTGCTAATCAATAACCTCCATCTTCATCATCACCACCTAAATAACTGCTTCCTAAACAGCTCATTATGCAGATCTACAACAGCACGAAGGATTTGGTGTCGCCCGCAGTCGAGTCTGCTAAACACTTTGTAGAACCCGCAGTGAAAACAGCACGAGATGTTATCGAACCTGCTGTGAACAAAACCCGAAGCATTGTAGAACCAATTGTGGAACCCATTGTTGAAAATGTGAAGCATAGGGTACGTTTCTTTTAGCTTGTAAAATTGTTTTTTAATATTTTTTTAAACTGTTAATTATTTCTTAATTTGATTTTAACGACGTTGTTCTTTTCTAGGTTGATGAATACATGCACAGAAACCAAGATGCTCCAGAAGGTCAAGAGAGTCAACCTGAAACTGAGCAGCCGGAACAATCTTCACCTTGCAAGTATGTATTTTCTAAATTTATTTACACAAGTGAAAGTGTTTTTAATGGGTAAAACTTGTAAAATTTTACAATCATTGTATGTGTTATCTATTGGAAAATTGAAAAAAGCTAATCTGTGTGGTCGAATAACCGAACACCATGTATTTTTTTTAAATACGTTAATGTTTTTCAGGCATTGAATTTCTATGGAAGGGTGCAAAGCTACAAGATTACCTAGTTTAAGTTTTTTTTTAATTTAATGTTAGCAATTATTATTTATTAGGCGCTGTTTTAATCGGCTGGTTTTACTGTATTGAAATTTGGTGTTCTTTTAAATTCCTACTCTCATTGTTCTTTAACAACCACAAAGTATGTTCATTATTCATTTAGATAAGTCATTAATACGAGTAGATGGATGTTGGATCCAAGACTGTCTAGAATAGGTGGAAAATGTGATAAATGTGGCCAATAATTTGTTTAGGAAAATTACAATTCGACATTTGCGAATTCTTTTTGTCACATTTATTTTTTTGCAATCTTTATAATAAATATTTTATATCATTGACGTTGTTTTTTTATCAGTGTACTCACTTTAGGGGAATAATTAATTCCACTAGAGAAGAGCTGTATACCCATACATGGTTTGACCAGTTTCAAAGTATAAAAATAATGTTTAATCCAAAAATAATTAAATTTTATGAGAGGCAGGATATACAAAAAAACAAATATAAAATAAAATGTTTCAAGCACCAGAGGTCTAATTTTGTCCCATATTTTACGTCAGAAAATAAACCTGGTTAGTAACAGAAAACTGTCATAATGATGCAAAGGGTGTCTTTCAAAAGTTTTATTTCAAATAAAAAATTATTTTTTCTTTTGCCCGCTTTAAGCGGCAGTTTGGGCTTTGATGTTAGATCATACTCGAAAAATTGAATTGGACACTATAAATCTGAAATCATTGCCCTTATTGGAGTAGATAATAGATTAATTTTCTATTTACTGTCCCGATTAGTGGCTAAAGCAGGAACAAATTATCTAATTTTTTTTACATGCAAAAATGTATAATTCAGTCGAATTATTAAATTAATGCCTTTCGCCAAGCAGAAAGTAGCAAAATTGTCTATTGCAGCACGAATTTTTATTCTCTAAAAAAGTGCAGAAAACACTTTTATGTGAAATAGAAGATGGAATTGGAAAAATGAATGTAATAATCGTAAATTATTATACTTTTTCCGTCGTTCCATTGTCACTATTATGAGATAGTAAATTCGTTCCTCCAAATTTTTCAAATTATCATTTTTCACTCTTTAGCCCTGCACTTTTTTTTACGAATGAATGAAAAATAGCAATTTGGAGAAAAAAGTTGAAACATACTTTTGTTATTATCGTGCGTTATTCCTTTGCCAAAGGTCGATTGACCAATTTTTGCACAAATAGCACCTCTGTCTATTTCTCAGAACTTACAAGCTTTTTTCGAAAATAATCTAAATATTACCAGGAAAAAAGCGGAAGACGAATATAATATAAAGTTAGATAAGAAAATTAGAAAAATTGGAAAAATTCGTGGGTTCCAGGTTTGATCCTCTAGATTTAATGATCAAAGTTTCAAAGCAACTTTCCATATAAAAAAGTAAAAAACAAGATAATTTATTGCAGGACTTAGAAGAAAAAAATATCACAGTTTAAGGTTTAAAGGTTTTTAAAGTTCGCGTTTTTTCCTAGAATTTGATAATGGTTAGGCAGTAAACAAGTGGCAGAAATCTATCAATTTCGTGTAAAAAAACAGATTCATGCCACTTTTCTAAAATAACCGAATCCAAACGACTACAATGGCGATTCTTGCTGTCGCTATTCTGGCACAGTTTTAAGCGATTTACGCGCTGCTACGTTAAACAGACACGCAAAACGGAAATTATGCAGTGTTGCGGAAGAATGATAAGACAGAAAAAAGATAGATTAGATAAAAGTGTTTCTTACTAAATCTTCATATCATTTTAATTACTCTTATTAAGTTAATTAAACCCCAAAAAACCTTGCTTTTTTTAATGTTATGTATGAACTAATGCGAGAAAAAAATGTTTTTTTGGCTTGATATATTTTAATTAACTTAATGAGGCTGTCAGGCAAAACTCAAAAAATCTTCAGGCTCCGCCAGCAAAACGAAAACTGACCGTTCCATTTAAAACGGTCATATCCAATTTTTCTCGATTTAAGTTGAGTGAATCAATATATTTTTTACGCAACTTACCTTTTCCGCAGTACATATTCCTTTATAGCAATCTAGTTTTCCACCCTATAAACTGGATCTACCTAAACAGCTTCGTACATTACTTTGCCCTATTTGCAGATAGTAAAAATAGCGAATGGGTAAAGTTTTATTAAACAGAACTCTCATAAACAACAATTTGCACAAGTTGTTGCTCTTTATTTGAACTTTTCGTCGTAATATCCTGGATAACCGCCTGCAAGGCGTCTTCCCAATCTTTGTCTACTTTTCCTTTATTCTTTTTATCTTTGCGACTACCAATTCGCTTTGGCATTGATACCTGAAAGGACACAAAATCAAATAAACTTAGAGAAGACTGAATTTTTCAAACCAAAGTAAAACAGACTAATTGCTGGATTAAACTCACTAATTAATCGATAAAATCATTCAACAATTTAATTCAGATTTAATTTGAAATATTCCAAGGTTTTTAATGATGAAACCCAACACCACTTGGTCTCTTTATACCCACGTATTTAGCTGGCAACTTTATTACGTGTGGATTGTAAACGTATTTCGATTGTTGCTGTTATTTTAACAATTTACGGCTTTTTGAACACTTTCAAACGCAATGTTAATGGCTACATTTATAGTAGCAAATCTCATTTCTTACTCGTGTTTATTAGATGTCTGCCATGTAAACTGTTGAGCACACATTGAGCCAAATGATTTTTAATTATTTCGTGTAGAACTTCAGGCTTTACTTACCACTGTCAATACTTTCATTAAATCCTGTTGAAAGGCCAGAACATCTAGACCAGGCGCGTTGTCCGCAAACTTCCGGAAGTTTTCAGCCAATGGTCCCCTAAGAGCTTGGAGTTGCCTCCATGATTGGGCGTACTGTCGTCGCACCAGCTCAATTATAGTGGAGGTGAGAGCTAATCCGACCAGAATGTAGAGAGTACAGAGCAGCATGTATTTGGGCTGTGCTGAAAAATATAAAAAGTGATGCAAATTGCATTATCCCAACAAACCTTCATTCATCATTTTTGTCTTTATCATGCTGCCATTCCAGTTCCGATAACGTTTCAAACTATAAGGACTCTATATCACATTTTTGGTCACTCACAGTAAAATTTATTGCAAAACTAAGCGCCATCTAAGCCCATAACAAGGCCTATTTTTTTGTTTTCCTCTGGCGATTCTCTGGCAAATAAATTCCGCCTCGCCAGCAACTTCCATTGATAAACTTCCCTGATCTGGATAAATATCCTTTTCAATATACAAGTTTCACACCATCTCGTTACTGCTTGTTTTGTTTCGCTTTATGTTTCGTATTTCCACAAACGATTTCTATGTTGAGGCATATAAATATTTGTTGAAACTACAGGATACAATTCGGATTTTTATCGTTCTGGATGGGATGCCGTATGTTTTTGTTTGGGGAAACTCGCTTATTTTCATTAACTGATGCTTGAAAATACGCTTTTAAAACTACTCATTGATTCAATAGGTAAAAAGTTTTATTCGAAATACCACGTGATCTATACAGGCTAAAAAACCGCTCCACAGTTCGACACCCAATTTATCATTCGCAAAAGCAGATATCGAGAAGAGACGACAATGTCGGGGACAAGCTGATTTTGTCGATTTATTACAGGGAAATATGGGACTACTTTTTCTTTCAGAAAAAGGAATTGATTTCAAGCGATTCCAAAGTGTGTTTTTGTATCCGGAAATGTCCTAAAGTTGGAAAAGCCCATAAAAACTCAAATGATTTCACAGTAGGAGTAGTTTCGAAAATTGAACGAAATATTGCTCGCGTATATTTCCTTCTTTGGCTCAGCATTTGTTACTTTTTCAACTCACAAACACATGGACTTTTTATTTTTTAAATTTTTATTGCACTTTTTCGAAACCTTTTTTCGAGATTTTAAATCATTGCACGTCTCAGTGCAATATTTTATGGAAAAATGATGATAGATTGGAATGATAAGAACAAGAAAAAATATTCGTCATTCGAAGCGACCAGTTTGTTGTTATTAGTGTTTTATTTTTCTCTGCAAGGCTGCAGAAATTCATGTTTCAGCAAAGAGAGTATGTAAATAAAAATTTAAAAACCGTGTTTTGATTTGACTGCCGTGCAACACTTTGTGCAATAACAATAAATTGGTCAAGCTATTCAATATAAATGAATTGCATCTAAAAAAAAATTAAGACTTACTCGGAACCAAGTCTCCAAACCCAATAGTGGTCATCGTAATAAAGCAGAAATAAAACCCATCAAAAAAGCTCCACTCTTCTTCCCAAAGTACGAAAATTGCCGCCCCAGCTGCTAAATACACGAAAAGGAAGCACACGGCCGATAGGGCGTAGGACGAAGTTCTTCGAGCAACCATAGCATTCCTGCGAAAAAATTGTATTGATTAGAAACTGGTAAAACTTATATTGTTGTGGATTGATACCTTAAAGACTTGGGTAACGGAGGAATTTGTTGCATGACTGCTGACAAAGTGGAAGCAAATAACCGACCCCAATCAGCAATAACCGTCATTGTTAAAGGTATCCCTACCAAAGCGAAAACTACGCAAAAAGCCTTGCCTTCTAAAGTCATAGGAACTATGTTTCCATATCCTGAAATTTGCAAAAATTGTCTTCAAAATGAAGGAATTTAAGCCGTAATTTACCTACCTATAGTGGTCAGTACTGTGGAACAAAAAAAGACTGCTTTCAAGGTAGTCCACTTGGCCATTTCCACTTTGGGACGTAACGGAATACCATCGTTAAACGATGCCTGATGATAAATTTTTAGAGGTAAAAGAACTTCAAAATCTTAACTTAAGCAGAGAAATTCAGAAATGTGAAAAATAAAAAATCCGTTTACAAAACATATTCCGTGAAGGAAAAGTTGGCTCTGATATCAAATAACAGACTTATGTCGAAGAAAAGGAAGTATTTAAAGATAAGCCTGACATTTCTCAATTTTTCACAGTGAAACTAAGAAATCGTAGAAAAATTTCAAATTTTTTTCTCATAAATAAAATTAGATGTTGGAGTAGCGCCAGCAAATACATACAGCTTTTTTATAAAATTTATAAATCTTCAATAACAGTGATTTTTGGTTGCAGTGTTTATTATATTATATAACGAAACTAATCCACTAACTTCGTCAATTAAGATTAATTTTAGTGGCGAAAATCTGTTAAGCAAAATATTAGAACAGAAAGAAAATTAATGTTTTCAAGTAATTCTACAGCGAAAAATTGACCAAAACAAAACTTGGCCAAGACCAAATTTTGGAAAACAAAACATTTTTGTGAAACTTCGGATCAGCATTCCATATTAGTTTTAAGTTGGCGAGTTTTCAATTTGCTCGAAGAAACGTTGGTCTATAAGCCAAGGAAGTTTCATTTTGGTAGTTCAAATGAAATCGGTGATTTTCTTAAACATTGTTATAAAAATTCTAAAACTCAAAGGAAACTTCATAATTCTAAAAAACTGTTTTTTGAAGCTTAAAAATCAAGCTTAGATTCGAGAGAACTTCAGTTTTAATTCTTGTGCACAGCGATCCCTTCACATTTCGGTCCTTTGAGTCGGATTTCTCCAGTGTCCAACACAACAAGAAAGCTTTGGAATATAAACGAGCTGTTTATTAGATTAATGAAAATTATCCAACAAATAAGCTCAAAATCTAAACTTGAAAAACTGTTTTCAAGCTTTTTTAAACTACAGAATATTTTTGTGAATAATAAAACGGTTTGTTAGACCAAGTATCAACAATTCAAACATTTTTTAAGTTCATTGGAACGGTTCCTACAAATCGCCGTATAAAAACCATTTTATGGAAAATTTTAAGCTGCTAATAAATGAAATACTAATTTGTACAAATATTAACGAAAAAATTAGGATTTCAAGCTTGTCCCTTGAAAGTCAATTTGCAAACGTTAGAGACAATGAAACTACTAAAACTTAATAAAAACAGCAAAAGAAATCTTGAGGAATTCATATAACATATTAAAAATATACAAATCAATTAATCCATCAGATACAATTCAATAATTCCAGGACACTTTAGCCATTTGTGGGAAATGTTCTTGTCATTCCCGGGACACCATTTCCAATTTATATCCGATCGAACCGCAATGGGACGAGTCTCCACTATATTTTCAACCGAATGCTGACCAGAAAATATAAACATTCAATTTTAGTTGCTGTAAATAAATAGCGACGAGATTGGGCAAGTTTTTCGGTCAAGGCGGTCATTGCTTTTGCATAACGTTGGTCATTTTACTCGAATAATGAAAAAGTTAAAATTGAACTTACCTCTAGAGCTTTTTCGTAATTATCCAATTCAATTGATATGAGGTTTCTTAAATCTGAATTATTCACTATTATCCTAATCAGGTTCTGCCTGGTCTGACTAAGGGTGCCGTTGTGATATTCGATTCTGGATAGTTCAGCTGGATATTCTAATCTTCTAAACACCTAAAAAAGTTTTCAGTAAAAGTTACAACTTAATAACAAAAATATTTCAAATGAGCGTTTTATGAATTCGAAATTCCTGTCGACATCGGTCATTTAAATGCGTAGAAAACTGTGCATTGGAGAGCCATAAAGAGATTAAACTGTTGAAAAAATCGACGAAAGAGGCCCGTTCTAAAAGCTGAGGTGCAATTTCCAGTCCAAGTCCAAAGTACGTATACTACTGGCGTTTTAAAGCCGGGCCTAGAAATGGATGATATGGACCAAGCGAAGCTTGGAAAATGTTGTGTAATTCTTCTAAGTCCTCGGAAACATGTTATCAACATGCAACCAGGCCCATTTTTATACCATATCTGAAGATAAAATATTTCTGCAATTTTTCAGGCAAAATAAGATTTGCTTTCTTGATTTCATAGCTTGATTACGACTTTTCACTTGCACTGTTCTGTTAACACAAAAAGTTATAGAATAATATAACGGAAGTTGATTAAGAATACAACAAATGACTAAAAGGAAAATTAGGAAATTGAGATTTAATTATAGACCCTTTCTTGAGATACGCAAACTTGTGGTTTAAGTAATGCCGATGATTTCGCCTCTCAGTCTGCAATGCCTGGGATCGCAACTAAAATGAAATTGAATTAGGACTACGGTAAAGTCATAAGTAACTATTGATTAGCTTCTTTTGGTCTAGAAATTGCTCCTTAAATCTAGTTTTAAACGTATTCAAGCGTTCTTATATTACAAATATGTTTATTAATTTAAAAAAATGCCAATGACAAGCCCCCTTAATAAACGAGGCCTGATATAATATTGAAAATGGGCTCTATTCTATAATTATACACGGGAAACCGCTCACAAGTACTTTCTGGGAAAGGGGTATAGTTGTGGTGAAATCAGGCAGCAAATTTGTAATTTGCCATTTCTAGTCCACCTAAGGGATAATTTCGAAGCGAATTTGACCATCTGTTGTAAAGCATTTTATCATCAAAAATTGCATTTTTTGCATTGAAAAGATCTTTTAAAGCTATATATTTTAAAGTCAACGATTATGCAGAGGTAGATCTTAATAGGTTTTTTCAAATCCTACAGTTTGTCCACAAAAAGAATGAGAAGGAAAAGTCGTATAAAAACTCGTAAAGACAGAAAAATCTGAAAACGACACAAAAGAAATGTTAAATAAACAACTTAAGCAGCTAAAATAAAAACTGTTTTGTGCTTAATATTTCTTAACTTGCTTACCAATCCTCCTAGCACGGTATATCCAGCCAAAGCCACCAACAATCCAGCGTGTTGACAGAAGGCCTTAAGGCGAAGACTTTGCCACCAATCGCGCACACGAGACTTAAAGTCCATTGAGGAACTGATTTGGACGCGCGTCTCGACGGCGATCAAAGGCGTCGTGGTCCGACGATCTTCGCGTTCTTGCATTTTCATGCTTGGTAAAAATAGCGCTTTTTTACTATGCGGAAATCCGAAAAGATCGAATTTTTAATAACAATGCAAGTGAAGACGCATTGTTCTGTCGCAGAACCCTAAAAGTATTTAGAAAGTTTATTTTAACAGTTAATGTTATATAAAATAATATTTTAGAAGACAAAAATTCAATTAGCAATTTGTCGGACATATAATATGCGGACGACACTCCCTTTATAGCGCGTGATGAAACTATTGCAAAATCGGTAGAAAAATTTCAGAATACTAAAAGACATCATGGTTTTTTAATGAAGCCAAATGCCACTAAACATCTTTAACTTTTGCTATCGGCGGATTACAGCGGATTCTCCAACAATAATAGCAGAGGTTCACACAACTGAACCGAAAAACTATAAAAAATATTGGAGATAACAATCGGCAAAGTACTAAAATTTAGGAAATATTAACAAACGAATTTATAAGAGGAACAAAACGTCTCAGATTTCTTAGCGGCAAAGGTATCAGGAAAAAGTATCGGCACCAAAAATGCTACAAACAAGTCTAAATCCTAGAGAAGATAGAGAGAGATTTTAGGAAAAGAGTAAACTCAAATGAAAAAACGAGGTAAAAAAAAGTTAAAAAGAAAAAATAAGAGATTTTTACGATATCCAACGATTTTATGTACGAACGCATACGTTGCATCAACAATAATTATTTCGATTTATTCTTTTATTTATTCAAGATTTCTTGTTTGAAAGATTTTTTTTGAGAAGCCATGCGACATTTTTTTAACCCCGAGCAAACAAATTTGCTACACATTTATTTTTTCATTTAGACTCTTGATGTCTTACTACAAGCGACGTAAAAATCCAGATTAGTTTATTAAAAAAATTAAGTAATTTCTGCTGCCGGAACTGGAAATTTTCTTATTTAATGCTCTGCAAAAGTTCCCCTCGGGAGAGCCAGTAAAAACCCCATTTCCATTATTCTGGAAGTGAATCAGCACGTTTTCAGAATGTTTTCTTATAAACTTGGCAATCGGTTTTAGTTAACTCGGCGCATTCAAAACAGAATATCCAAACGTCCAGACAGCAACATTTGTCTATTTCCATTCCGAAATTTCTGGTTTGCTGCAATTTTCGTTCTATCGAATTCATAAATTTGCTCTCTGTCATCAACCAACTGAATTAATTAGTTCTAATTTTAGTTCAGAAAATGATGAAGAATTAACAGAAAAAAACTGAATTAGTTTCTTTGCACCTGGTGACGCTATTCAGTGGGCCGAAAAAATAGTTGGCACAAATGTACACACTTGCTAAACATCCCAAAGAAATTTAGCAATAACAATCCAAAAATATAAGCAAAGTGAGCAAGCTGTTCCCACCGGAAAATGTCCAAAATGCAAATAAATCTCTATTGCTACAATTAGCAAGTGATTTAACACTATCTAAGTTTTATAAGCTTCCGAATAAATCTTCCATTCGAATTCAGGTTGTTTCGATTCGGCCAATTCACTTGAACTATATGTGAAACTTAAAATTGCCATAAGCAACATGTTTATTGGGATTTTGTTGATGGACAGGGGCATTTTAAATAACCAGGCAAATAATTTCCAAAGAATTTTCCATTAAAGTAAACAGACGTCCAGCGACGACATGCGAATTTTCACACAAACAAATCGAAAATACAATAAATATCGGATGACGTGAAAATATATTCGATTTTGAAGTTCTCAGCGAAATTAAAATAAATACAACCCAGCCATTTCTCAATTACGAAAATTGATGATCCTTCATGGAATTTCCTCCTTTGAAATCACCACTACGTAATATTAGAGATCAGATCTGTCTGGATTGAAGCAAACAATACTTTTATTACGGCAGGTTTTAGCAGTTTTATAATTATTTATATCCCGATGTTATAAAATAGATTAGCTATTTCGGATTCAGCCAAATATTTGCCTTATTATCTCAATAAAATCTACCAATCGACTAACATTTTTCGACTTCAATTTTTCAAGATTTCAAACAATTTCAAGCACACATTACGAATAATTCGCGTTTTTAATTGTTGTATATATAATTTCAATGAGTATTTGAAGTATATATTGGGTAGTAAATTAGGCAAGTACAGTGAAATATGGGGATTTTGAAAATAAATTGGTACATTTTTAACAAAATTATTAAAAACATCACACAAAAAAAGGCCATCGATCTATCGGTCTTTTAGCCCATGTTGTTAAGTAAATTTATTGTTAAGAACATTTACAGTGCAAAATAGATACATTACTAATTTTAGTATTATAAAGAATTCTACATGAGTCAAATGAAGGAGTCGGAATCCAGACTGTAAAGTATGTTTTGTTTCAAAGATGATTTACAATTGAGTGAGTTGAGTGGCAGTTTTGCAACTTTTTTGGTCATTTGCAAGTTCACTCGATGGATCAATCTTATTTTTCAATCCATCAATCTTCGTGCTATCGGTTCTTCGTTTTCTATGTATTGTTCAGGTTTCTCAGCTTCGTTGAGTCTTAGTATGTTTCCATAGTCTAGCAGTGATTTAGAGATGGTTTTGTATATTTTTGTAGCAAATTTGGAGCTGATTCTTTTGTATTTGTATGTGAGTCATCTGAAATGTTTAGTACAATTTCTGTCCGAGTATTCACTTTCAGTTTTTTGTCGATTATTATCCTCGTTTTTCTGTTCAGTTTACTAATAAGTTTGTACATTAAGCCATATATTCTTCACCTTGATTTGAGACGCCAGCAATAAGTGCGTCTACTTAGCTAATAAAACTATACCTATTTTCACAATCCATTAAGAAAATGTTGCATGCCCCCAATCTTTCTGGAGTCTCATTTACCATAAATCCACCTAACCTGAATCAAGGCAAAGCACGTCTTTTAGATACCTCGCTTTTAGATAAAATGAGAAAAACAGTAAATTATCCCAAAGGTAAGTTTAAAGCTTATCGTTTCTGTCGCAAGATAAAATCTGGCTACCTTTTTCATTATCTATCTACGTGGCCTTTATATTGTACATACACAAAATTAAATCGACCCGAAAATAGGTACAAAGTAGTCATTATATAAAGGGAAAACGTTACAAAAACTCACTTAATTTTTAAATGATTTCAATATTTGCAGAATAAAAATAATCAATAAAAAATCTACGTATGAATTCGATTGGCATGCATTTATTTGTAAACATTAATTTAAGTTGTAAACTTTTAACTGAATATTTAAAAATATATCGATAAATTACGTGTAATTTTTTTGAATGATTTAAACGTATGAATAAATACTTATAAATCAAATAACTTGCATTCGAATCGAATGCCTCATTGGTTATACTTAGATTTTTCGACCTATAGCCACATTTCGATTCTACTTTAAATGCACGATTTTATTTTTTTTTAATCGAAAATTTGACTTTGCTTCATGTTTTTAAACATTTTAATAATTTCCGTGAGGCAATAGCTGTAACGTGTGCCAAATTACTGAAAACAATATCTAAATTTCAAACAAACTCAGTTAAAGAAATTGTAGAAATAGTGACCACAAAAATGGACAAAGCACATACCTACCAAAAGAACAGTGGAAAATATAAACTAAATTAAAGCCGCAACATGATAATGGAGAAATACTTTTAAGAAAATGTAGACAGATAAAAAAATATAGACAAAGTAATGTATCAATTATTTAGCAAATTATTCGGAATTTGGATTAAAAAGTGGAGTCCTATGGGATTTCAAGAAATGACTGGACAATGTCCTGCTATGTTTCCCTTTAGGTCTACTATACGCAAACATTTCAAAATATACAAATTATAATTTTTGAGCGATTTTTCCATGTAACTGATTCTGGCCTAAACTGAGAAACGAATTTAATACACACGAACACAAATATTTTTACTAAAAAGAAATTAGACAGAATAAACAACATTGCGGAAAAAATTATGGCAGAAATTATAACTTACCTGATTTTGCAAGAGAAATTCTTAATGTAGTTTTCAAAGTTTGCATTTACAGACGTAATTTCACGAAATGGTACAAAAGGGCGCCTCGACGCTGTTGACGGACACGACGACGAGTCGCGACTGATTGGCAAAATATTGCAGAAAACGAAACAAAAATACGGCCCTATTGGCACTGTGGACGCCGATTTTCTCTTTGCAAAATTACCGTCTACTAAAGTAAAACAATGCAGGGCGTTCAAAGAGTATTGAGTGTATAAATTGTAAGTGTTTCTGATTTTTTTTTTTCCGGTGAGGTTTGGGAAATACTGTTTTATGCACTCCCAGAGCTGGTGGTCTGTCGCTCTGGTGTGTGTGGGACTCCAGCTAAGCTGTTTACCCACTAAAACCCTTTCCTCACCGCCGAGGTGGTGTTTGGCATCGCACCGCGGTCATTTCTGTCCTATTGTGCCCTCGTACTTTTACTCCCTCAGTATTTTTACTCCCTTGTATGCATCAGAAGTGTTTCTGATGCATACAACATGAAATTTACAGAGCTTTGACTAAAATCCATTGAACAAAACTTGAGTGGTAAGAAGAATATTTTGATCTTATACCTAACCGAAGCATTTCAGTTCAATTTAAATGCAAATCCTTCACTTTCGTATGCTCTGGATTTATTAGAAAAGCAGTCAATAAATCGCCTCGCTTGAAAAATGGTTAAAGCTTTTCAAACATATAGATTTTCCATCAGGTTACTTTGAACTTGTGAATTTATTGTGACCCTTTTTTGTTTGTGACTGCTTAACTACCGTTTAATGCTGTTTTAGTTAGTGCTCGATAACGGAAGAGTCTCCCTTCCCACTCCAATAAGGGAGTCTAATTATATGCAATCGAAAGTCGATTAGACAATTTCACTTCTGCACTGCTTAACGTCTTTAAGTGGGCCATTATCTTCCTAAAAAGTCTTCAATTGAACATTCGAAAGACAATGCCCAATAGTCCTGGCAATATCGATAATCCTAATAAGTCTAGATCGTCAATTTATTAGCAGAAAAAGTACATGTGCTTGATTGGGTTACACATTTCAAGTTCAAAATCGACAGGACTGTGTTTAGTTGCAATTAAAATGATTTTTTATTGACCTCGCTAAAATGTTATTGATAGTTAACTGGACAGGAAATATGAGAGAATACTTACTAGTTGCAATTATGACTACAGTTGAAGAGCTTCATCGGTAGACCCCAAAAAGTACTGAGCGAAAATGTGACGCCTCTTTTGTTCTTTTAAAGGTAAACAACTGTGAAAAAGTTATTTAACTTTAAGTTTTAGTAGCTAACTTCAAAAATTTTAAGCTTCAAGTCACACATCGAAGACACAAACAGTTGAAGAATTTTGCATTTTAAATTCATTACTTAATCATTCCCATCTTGCTACATCAATGATCTATTATGACTTGAAGATTTCCCATCTTCAGTTAAACTAGCCGTGTTCCTCAGCAACTCGCCAAAGCGAATTCGAGCTCTTCATTGGGAAGATCTAAGTAATTTTCGCAGTGTTCATCGCGTTTTGGGTCGGTGATTGTTCTTACGCGAGATTATATAACATGCAAGTACATAAAGTACTCATTATTTCAACTTTAAGTGTGTGAATACATAAGTGAGTTAATTTGCCTGCCCAGTTGCTTCCCAGTGATTTCAGAGTGTTTACTAGTTGCAACCCATCCAAGTCAAGTGAGTGTTAAAATGAAGAAGTCGAAATTTCAGCCCGATAGAAATCTGAATAAATTAGCATAATTGGGAAACACACTCTTTATAATTCAAATTTGGGTGATAGTTAATTATGCAAAAAAATTAGCAGATTCAAAATCGTGCAACCTCAATACCCGAAAAAGTTACAGCGTTTTTCAGAGGTTATTTGCTTAAATCAATCATCATAAAATCAAATTCTAACTACAAGGAAATTGATCGCAACTTTCCGCACGTAGGTTAAAGTCCAAGTACGAAAATTTAAGGAGTGTTTTTAACGAAATTATTAGGCTCGTTTTACCAGTTTTAAAGATTAATCTTATTTAACTCGTTTAAGTAATTAGGCGATTGTTTAGTTAAAAGGATTCATTTGGGAAATACATATATTAAACATATTTTTCTTTGTAATAACAATCAACAATTTTTAACTGGGTAATTATTTTCCCGGCGATTTTGATATTCACTAAATGAATTAAACCTTTTTAATTCGGGCTGACAAAAATGCAGTTAAAAATATTTGTATTTATTAAAATTCTGGTTACTAAAATTTATTTATCGTTGTTAAAACAAGTCGTAAATTGTCATTATAAACCGCGCTAATAAAGCAAAAGTTCCCTATCTACTAACTAACTTGCTTTCGTATAAGATGTAGAAATTCAGGATTTTGTTTTGGTAACTCTCTATTTATTTTCCTCTCTCTGATTTGTTCTTTTCAAACAAAATTGATAAAATCTCAGTATCTTTTTTCTGCATTAAGGTCTCCTTTTCTAGCATTTCAGTATCTCTATGTTGTATAAGTCTCAATTAATAATCTCGTTCTATTTGCTCTTACAGACAACCATTTTAAAGTTTTCTTTGATAGCAACAATTCTTTCAGTACTTCAATTCCTCCTCTCCATGTCAAAAGAAATTCCCTTTGCCTTTTCTTAAACTGATTTAAAAACAGAAAAAACATATTGTTTATAATTTGGTTTAAATTAGGTTGTAGAAGTTATAAAGAACAATAATCTTGTAATAAAACTTTCCCGTGGCCAATTTTTTAAATATTTTTTCGTTTAGCAGAAATCCATGAAATTAGTACAAAAGCAACAAAAACCTTGCCCTAATGAAGACTCCACTTGCTCTAGTCGCCAATTGGTGGCGGTCTTCTGTAGACCCTGAAGTTATTCTGAAAGAGTATCGAAGTTTTCAGAGCTCTGAACCTTCTATTCCAAGTAGGTATTTTAACTACTATTTATTTTTTTAATCGTTAAAAACAAACTGTTGCTCGGCACAAAAATCAAACTGTTACCTCAATTAAGTTTTCTTATTGCAAAATACACATATAGACCCTGTATAAGCGCATAGCATAACTTCATCATGTGCTAAAACCGGTCTAATTATATAAGAACATTTGCTCAGTGCAACAAAAATATTAAACATTGTAAAACATTAAGTGGCTTAATGAATTGGGTTTTTTATAAATAGTACGGTTGATCTGTTGATTTGAATGGAAATCGCTTCATTTGCATAGAAGAAGATATTTAAGGTGGAGTTTTTTTCCGAAAGTCGCTACTGTAAAGTCCAAAGTTTCGCATATAATTTTACTACCAGCGTAATTTACCACAATTCGAATAAAACAGACCCATCTGGGGCAATTATTCTGGGAATCTGAAGAGAACAGGTTGTTTAATAACATTGTCACGTTCTGGCTATTGTATCAAGAAAAGCATAGCTCTAAAAGGTAAACTAATAAATAAAGCTTAAATTGAATACTATGAAGCTTCGGTTTTGTTTTGAATAATCTTGTAAAACAGACTGAGCGATTATTGGAAAAAATTGTAGTATAATGGAAAAACTATGTCCACAGGTCTTTTAGATCAGGTGAAAGGATTCAATAAAGAAACTAATAATAGAAAAATCATTAAAAAAATGTAGAACACAAAACTAAACTTCTACCAAAAAATTGCCAATAAAAATGTACAAGATATTTCCCCCAAAGGGTCAGGGGTAATATTTCCATTTCGAAACCCCAAAACGTTCTTGTTGTATTATTAACATGACTGTTTTAAGTAAGCGTTTTGCCCCCGTTTGAAACTTTAAGTAATTGCCCGGAAAATGTATCTGCTATGTAGAATTCTTTGGTAGTAGATAATATGTTTAGTGGACTCTAAAAGAATGCTTTTCTGAAGTGCTTTTGCCTCATAAAAATTGAGTTTTTCGTTTGAAATAGTTGAATGGAAACTAAACTTACTTGTTCAACTAATCTAAGAATAATGCTAATAAAAAATAGCAAATCATTCCGTATATAAAATAAAACCGATTATCCTGTAAAAAAACTAGAATACAGTAGTTAGAAAAATATTGATATATGAAAAGCCGTTGTTTTAAATAAGAGAACTCGTTATTTTAGCACTTTCTGTGATCCTTTAATGATGGAAACGTTTTGAAAGAGCATGTGGAACTTTTCCAATATCCAAACAAGAACTTTTGTATTTTCCCACATCTTGCCGGTAGTTCAAGGGCTTAAATCTATCGCTTTAGAACGAGATTGTGTTATACCCTTTTTCCTGTTATTATATAACTGTAAATATTTTGTAAGGGTCATCTTTAAAACAACAGGTTTAGAAGTTTGTGTGTGTGAATCAGTTGTGTTTTCAAAAGTGATTGTTAATGCTTTATTTGAATAAAAAAACATTAACATTTCGGTGCAAAAACGCGATAGTTTAATGTTTCGGTGTTTAGAAGATATGAAATCAGCTAAATTAAATCACATTTTTCTTTCGTATTTGCACAGGCTAATTTCGGACATAATAGTGTATTGTACCATTAAAATGGAGTAAAAACGTAAAAATTAGTTCTAGCACTGTCCAATTTTCCACCGGTAGAATATTTCTTTCCGTTCTAAAAGTTCGCAAAATTATTTTCTTTCCGTTTTATTGTGAAATTTTCGCTTTTGTCTTGCCAAATTTATACTAATTCCACGACCCTTTCATCATTTTTATGTGGTCATTAATTTTAGTTCCCCATTTATTTAATTACTAATACGTTTCTGAAATAGTTTAAAACGTTTTAGTGGTTTTTAACGTTTAAAACGTTTAAAAAAATTATTTTTGTAATTCAACAGGCTGTTAGGCATCGATGTTAATTGGAAAAATTTACATCTAAAACTGCAAATGTGCAAAGCGACTATTTCCGATATTAAAAGTAGCTCAATTCGAGGTTTATTGAGTAAATCCTATATAAAAACCAGCAGTTCATTACTGAAAGTAACTTTCATCAAACAACTTTCTCAATCAGTTCCAAGTTGGTTGAATTGGCAAATAAGTTTTTAGAGCAAAATTTCTAACAAAAATCGTTTTTGATTTACTCGATGCTAATAGCAATTGAAAGCCTGTTTACAAAGCGAATTCGACACGAATCCAACAGAAATATTTACTGTAACTGGCAAACTTGGCATATATTCAAAATTTCAAATTTTCCTTCGGGAATATTAAGTTCTCAAAGCACACACACACGTAAATAGTATTGTATTTTTAAAAGCACTTTAATGATGTATTTCCGGGCAAATACAATTACATTTCTTTAGGTGGCCTAATGAAATTTGAGTTTGTTTAGCTAATTTACTTCGAGATGCAAATTCGATTGCGAATTGATGGGCATTTATTTCCAGGATTTCCATCAACACTTTCCTACGATAATGCAACCGATATCTACGAAAGCATCACGGGCTTTAACCCCGTATCTTTAAATTATGACTCAATTATTACGTCTTTAGATGACCTAAACAGGTATAAATCCAGTAAATTTCGAATTCCCAGTGAAATTGAATGGCACATCATTGGGCCCGAATACGTGAAAGATCTGTTTAAAGATGCAAATGATATAGAAGTAAATATCGGGTTTTTATGGGCAGCTTTTTTGAAACGAGCTGATTTAGTTGGTGTTTTTCTGGAACTTGGAGCTGACCTGAGGTGAGAATATGTGTTATTTATTGTTTCTAGCTCTAATGTTGGGGAGATTTTTTTACTCGACGACTTTTCCTTAATCTCCAGGTCCAATTCGTTCACTAAAGTTGGACTTTCACACACCTTTCCAGTTTTAAGCCTTGACTTCGGTCCCTTAATTTCTTCAAAATGTTGTAACTTTTTTAAAAACACTTTACAAACTATAAAGTTTGCATTGTATACGAGTAGCTATACGTTAAGAACTTTTGTTGTTGAAGTTTGTTGTGTACACGCGAGAGCTTTATTTACTCAAAAAACTGTACGATTTTGTAAACATTTAGCTTCAGCCTCAAGTGTTATTCCGATTTTCACTTAAAATATTGACTGTTTTCAAGAAAAACTACTCGAACTGACGGAAAATCCCAACACTTCACGTTTTATAAGCCGAACCCTTGAAAACTTTTTTCAGCTCCATACTTTTTAGCTTCCACGAACCGAACTATGGACTAACCGCTCTCCACTTGGCAGCTTTCGCTGGCTGCAAATCCACCACTGAATTTCTCCTATCACAAAAAGAATGCTACGTTAACTTGATGTACAAATGCTATTCACCTCTTCATTGTGCTGCCTTTGGAAACAATCCAGAAATCGCATCGATTTTGTTGGAAGCCGGAGCAAACATTGACGCCATTTCCAATGATCTTCAGAACAACCTGGAAGGCGTTTTGCATTGTGCTGTTCGAAGCAAAGCGGTTGATTGCTTAGAACTTTTATGCACAAAAGGTAAATCAACGCTATGTGGGTTAGTAGTTGAAGCTTTCCATACATTGGGTATTTTTCAGGCGCCAACGTTAATCAATTGGACAGCTGTGGACGGACAGCAATACATTTAGCTGCAGAGCTGGGAAGTGCTGAATGTCTTCGAATTTTGGTGCAAGCGAAAGGCGCCAATATCGATTATCAAACTAAGGAAAAACAGCATACAGCTTTGCATGTTGCTGCTCAGCAGCGGCATGTGAATTGTGTGGATGTTCTTTTGGATTATGGAGCTTTGCCAAACATCGTCGATTACAAGTAGGCTCTTGTCCCCGTTAGGCCTGGGTAACTCAGTGAATTTTTAGCAGTTGGCGCAGTGTTACGCAAACGGCTTGGTGCGCCAACCCAACGCACCGGCGCAGTAACAGGAAAATGTTGATGACTTTTTTTACTTGTTTTTATATTTATTTTGAGGGTCATTTATTAATAATATTTTTAAAATTCCTTCAAAATTTCAGAATTTTCCAGTTTTAGCCAAGTTACTCTTTCTTCTACATGCTCAATTTTAGCGGTTTCAGTTAAAAATGCTGACGATTTTAAGGTATTTGCCGCGAAAAATTATGAAATTAAGTTCGAATCCTTCGCCGCTTTCTAAAAAGTTTTGAAATCCGTTTCCAGCTTCAAAACTTGGAACAAAAATTCAAATAATTTTCTATCAAAAAATGAACAGAATTAGCGAAAGTTTATAACGGATCTCTCTGAAGACTGTAGAATTTATTTAAAAAAATGTGTTTTTTTAGTTTTGACTGAATTTTTTTGCTTTACTTTCTGCTCAAAAACGCTCTATTTTGTAGTAGAATTTCACTTAAAATTTCTGACGATCTGGAGGTCTTTTACGCGAAAAATTACAAGATAAATTTATAGCTTTGTCAAAATTTTACAAAAACTTTTTTCAGCGTCGAATATTCGGGACAAAAACGAAAATAAATTTCTCCCGTTTTTCCCTAAAGCCATTACGGTTTTTTTCTAAAACCGACCACAAAACAAAAATATTTTAATCGAAATTGCAAAAAGCCATTAGTTTCTGATCATTTTCTTTTTTTCTGACAATAATGGGATCTTTTCAACCAAAAATGACAAAATTAATTTTGCTGGAAAATCCGCTAGGAAATTCGAAAAACTTTAGAAAACCCATTTCAGCTTTGAATTTGGCACAAAAATCATTAAATTTTCAGTTTTTTACCCAAAGTAATTGGGACTATCTTGAAAAAACGCTCAATTTAGTAGAGTTTTACTTCAAAATACTGACGATCTGGAGGTCTTTTACGCGAAAAATTACAAGATAAATGTATAGCTTTGTAAAAATTTTACAGAAACTTTTTTCAGCGGGGAATTCGGGACGAAAACAAAAATAAATTCATTTTCACTCTCGTTTTTTCCCCAAAAACCATTAAGGTTTTCTCCAAAACCGATCACAAAACTAAAAAATTTTAATCGAAAACGCAAAAAAAAACATTATTTTCTTCTTTTCTGACAAAAATGGGGTCTTTTCAGCCAAAAATGGCAAAATTATTTTTGTTAGAACATTCGCCTCATTTATCGGTTTGCAGGGACGCATTTGGCACAAAATCCAAATTATTTTATTCAGTTTTTTACCGAAAGTAATTAGGATTATCTTGATAGAACAACCAGAGAGCAAAAGTTTACAAAAAACATTTGGAAAAATCTCCGCCCTCATTGTTCCGACGATTTTAAAAGTTTCTTAAAATTTTCAGGTTACTTCAGTTTTAACAAAGTTTCTATTAAGCAATTCTTTCTAGGCAAAAATCGCATTATTTTTTAGGACACTTAAAATACGGACAAGATTCAGGTATTTTCTGTGAAAAGTTATTAGCTACATTTTATTGGAACACTCGCTTCTTTAACCGCTTTGCAAAAATTTTTGGAAAACTTTTTGCTGCTTCGAATTACGGACAAACCATAATAATTATGTCTTAGTCTGAGTACTTTTCCAAAAATATTTCTCCTAACTGAAAAAGCGAAAGTTTATAATAATTTATTTGGAAAACTCTTGGAAACTAGGGTTTCTTCACTTTTAGGTCAATATTTGAAAACAACACTGGAAAAACCGTGTTTTTCCTAAAGTTTTCCTGTAAAATATTGGCAAACTTTTATGCAACAAAATTAAGAGTCTTTGGACTCAGTTCTGTTGCTGGGAAAATCTAGATGACTTTTTTTAGTTGTTTGAACAAGGTAGTAAAACGTTACTCAGAACAAATGTTAATGACCTTTTTTTTTTTAATGTCAAAATTCCAGTCTCGGGTCTCGTAAAGCTGTAATAAATCACATATAACTCATGAACATGAGTTATAACGCGTTAACTCAGAGAACGGCAACAACTCAATAGCGCAACTCAACACAGTGTTATCCAGGCCTAGTTCACGTTGATTGCAAGCAAGATAAGCTGTTGTTAAATTAATATACACTTACTTCCTTTAATTTCACTTAAAAAAATTAAATAAATAGCACACAAAAAGGTAAGTTTGGATACTTCACATTTTTGAGCTGATTATTTTGCTTTTGATGAAAATAATTATATTTTCAGAAGAGAACTGATGCAGGTGCGGTAAAGATATTCTATTGTCGATAAACCCATGTAAATTGCCCAAACATAAAAAAACGATGAAAAACGCCGGCAGAATCCTTATTTTTATTCAAAAATAGTACACATACTTATGAAACAATATTACTGCCTACTAAATTGCCGAAAGCGCAAATACCGATGAGAAACAGTTTGTTCATGATTTGAATACAAAGCTGGAAAATCACCAGGCCAAAGAAACCAATTTCAGGCTTATAAATTACAACCTTAGATTTTTTTTTGAAAACCATTGGAACGAACAAATGATTTCTGAAAAACGGTGAACTAATAATGGGACACTGCTAAATACAGAATTAAAGATCTCTACAGAAAAGACGAATTGCTAGTAAAAATTGTCCAATTAAATAGTTGTGGCTTAATCTGATTGTTCACTGCCAGTTAGAATTACATTTTATTTTCCACCCAAATTAAAAATAAAAGCAAACAAATTTGCAGATTAAAGTATTTAATCAATTTTCAGACACCGCACTCCTCTTCACTTGGCAGCCAAAAGCCAAAGCAACGAATGCGTGAAATTGCTGCTTCAGAAAGGCAAAACCAATCCAAATCTACCAGATGCGAATCAAAGAATGCCTCTTCACTTAAGCGTTGCTGAACCCCATCAAACAATCAATTGCGTTACAATGAAAACGCTATTAAGGTCAGTTAGTACCATTCTGCTTGGGCAATTTTTCTACAGTCCATTTTCGTAGATTTGGTGCTGATGTTAATGCAAAAGACTCTAAAGGCTGCACCCCGTTGCATTTAGCTGCCACTAACGAACTGCCCAAGTATGTGGAAACTTTGATATTACACAATGCAGATATAACAGCCACATGTGATGGAGGTGTTACCGCTTTGGGAATGATCTACCGGAAAACGCCGGCTAGTATGGACACCATTAGGAAGAAACTGGATGAATGTATTGTTCTTAAAAGTCAGGATTGTAGCAGCAGAGAGTCGGAGCTGGAAGTGAATTTCACTCCCATATTGCAGCACTGTTATCCTAATGAAATTGAGTTCCTAAAAACTCTTCTGGTTGAAGGGCAAAAGGAGCTGCTTTTACACCCGGTGTGCCGGGCATTTCTTCACTTGAAATGGAAGAAGATCAGAAAAATTTTTGTCTTCAGAGCCATCTGGAGCTTTTTGCTGGTCTTATTGATGTCTTCCTTTGTTTTAATGGGGTTGGCAAAACACTGCTACAACGTCAGCAAAAACATCACCCTGACCACCTACGACCTGGACAGAGATCTGTGTATCAACCACTCTTTTGCTGGAAGCTTTATAGTTGCACATCCTTTCATACTAGAGCTGCAATGGTACTTGATGCTCATACTTGCCTTGGCAATAGTTGTTAGGAAGTTATGTGCGATTTCAGCCTATTCTTCCTTCATCCAGTACTTTCGTTCTATGCAAAACTTACTAGATTGGAGCACTGTGGTTGTGGTATTTCTCATATCCTTCATCTATACTGGCCGAACTTACATATGGCAAAACCACGTTTGTGCCTTTGGGGTGTTGATCGTCTGGTACAACTTCTTCTACCTACTCGGTCAGTTTCCCTTCTTCGGCACCTACATAGCAATGTATTCGTCCGTCCAGAAAGAGTTTCTCAAGCTGCTACTGATCTTCTCTTGCCTGCTTATGGGCTTCAATGTGAGTTTCTGCGTGTTGTTTCCAAACTCCCAGCTTTTTCCAAACGTCTACATCGGATTCATTACGGTGCTCGCCATGGCTATTGGCGAAGCCAATCTTGATCTCATCACAGATCCCAACAAACAAGACGAAATCTTCATGTTGCGCGGTTCAGCTCAATTTATTTACGCAATCTTCATTACTTGCGTGACAATAATACTCCTCAATCTCCTAGTGGGCATAGCCGTGCATGACATTCAGGGCCTTAAAAAGACGGCAAAATTGACCAAACTCACTAAAGCCACTGAACTGATATCTTGCGTGGACAGAGCCCTGTTCGCAAATTACTTTGACAAAATATTCTTGCCTGAGGTTTGGCGCTGGAGCACTTTGATATCCACTAATGGATATTATGCGGTCACCGTGAAGATCTACAATCACCAACAGGGCCTTCTGCCGTCCGATATCATTCATGCGGCATATGAGGTAGCCAGGAAGCATAAGAAACGAAACAGAAGTAGCAAATCTCATGACCAAGGTAAAATTTCGATGGCACCAAGGGAGCAATTATCCAGGAAAATTAGTTCGAAGAACTTTGCAAATGAAGTGGATGTGAGCGGTTTGCAAAAGGATGTAAGAAATTTGAGCAATCAGGTGGCCAATATGAAGGAGATGTTGGAGAGCCATCAACGATTAATGGAGCAGATTCTGCGGTCGGTGAATGCCGGCGATAAAGGCATATATTTTTAGGCCACTTGGTGTTGGGAAAACGGAGTTCAAATCATGCCAGCGCAGCTAAATAATTCATTCGAACCCCGAGGGATGTTCTAAAAGGTGCAACTCATGCGGTCTGAAGGAAAAGGAATCAACTAAATGCTGATTAAGAGCAAAACTATTCAACCTTCTATGTTATACTGGTCGAAATGTAAAAAAGATGTTTATGAAAATAACATAATAAAGAATCATGTTGATAAAATTTTAAATGCTTTATTGACGTGAACAAAACATTTTATTCAGTGCTATTAATTTTTACTGTTTTATTTTCCATTTTAAACGCCCATAAAAACAATGAAAAAATTAACTAATTTATCTTTAAGGATTGCGCAGCTATCGTTAGAACAATTAGTTATTCTCGGGTTGTTAAACCGGATTTTCAAGTAATTTTATGCTGACGTTTCTCTTACACGTATGACAAACAGATTCAGTGGTGCACGTCAGTCCATAAGCTCTGAAGATGCTTGCGTCTTCAACGACGGAAGAATAAGCAGAAAATCGCGAACTGATTCATTCGTCTTTAGCTCCATATTCAAAATATCCAAGTTATGTGAAAATCATAAATAATTTGTATTCCTCCGAATTCAGTAATACAACATGGAAAAATTTAGGAAATAAACTTAATGCTAACAAAAAATCAAGCTAGCAAATAAAGAAAGTAAAACCAAACCAAATAAAACTGACTAGAAAATGAAACACGGGCAAAAAGGAAATCGAATTATTTATTTGAATAGAAAGATAGGCAAACCTGAAACCACTTTTTTTCTGTAAAAGTAATGCTAGAATTTAGGCCTAAGTAACACTGCGTTGAGTTGAGCTATTGAGTTGTTGCCGCTTTCTGAGTTAACGAGTTATAACTGATCGGTTAATGAGTTATAAGTAATTTACTAAAGCTTTGCGAGACCCGAAACTGGAATTTTCACATCTAAAAAAAGGTCATCAACGTTTTTTCTGAGTAGCGTTTTACTACTTTGTTCAAACAACTAAAAAAGTCATCTTGATTTTTTCAGCAACAGAACTGAGTCCAAAGAAAGGCGACGAGTTTTCTTGTAAAATCGTTCTCTTAATTTTTTTGCATAAAAGATTCAGTTTGCCAGTATTTTACAGTAAAATGTTAGGAAAAACGCGGTTTTTCTGTTTAGAGACAGTGTTGTTTAGAAAAATTGCCCTAAAAGTGAAGAAACCCCAAAGAGTTTTTCAAATAAATGATTATAAACTTTCGCTTTTTCAGTTCAGAGAAATATTATTGGAAAACACTTAAAAATTATTATTAGGGTTTTGTCTGTAACTCGAAGCTGCAAAAAGTGTTCCAAAAATATTTGCATAGCGGTTAAGGGGGCGAGTGTTCCAATCAAATTTATCTTATAGATTTTCACAGAAAACATCTGAAAATTATCAGTATTTTACTTAAGAAACTTTGTTAAAACTGAAATGACCTGAAAATGACCTGAAACTTTAAAAATTGTCGGAACAATGAGGGCGGATATTTTTCCAAATGTTTTTTGTAAACTTTTGCTCTCTGCTTGTTCTGTCAAGATAATCCTAATTGCTTTCGGTAAAAAACTGAATAAATTAATTTGGTTTTTGTGTCAAATGCGTCCCTGCAAACCGATAAATGAGGCGAATGTTCCAACAAAAATAATTTTGTCATTTTTGGCTAAAAAGACCCCATTTTTGTCAGAAAAGAAGGAAATCATCAGAAAATAATGTTTTTTTTGCGTTTTCGATTAAAAACTTTTAGTTTTGTGATCGGTTTTGGAGAAAACCTTAATGGTTTTTGGGGAAAAACGAGAGGAATTTATTTTCGTTTTTGTCCCGAATTCCCCGCTGAAAAAGTTTCTGTAAAATTTATACAAGGCTATAAATTTATCTCGTAATTTTTCGCGTAAAAGACCTCCAGATCGTCAGTATTTTGAAGTAAAACTCCACAAAATAGAGCGTTTTTGAGTAGAAAGTAAAGCAAAAAAATTCAGTAAAAACTAAAAAACCATATTTTTTTAACAAACTTTACAGTCTTCAAAAGTATGGAGATTACGAGATTTCCAAATAATCTGTTATAAACTTTCGCTTATTGTGTTCGTTTTTTGAATGAAAATTATTCGATTTTTGTTACAAATTCGAAGCTGATTTTGATTTCAAATTGATTGAGATTTCAAAACTTTTTTCAAAGCGACGAAGGATTCGAAATTTATTTCATAATTTTTCGCTGAAAATACCTTAGGATTATCAGCATTTTTAACTGCAACTTTAGAAAATTGAGCATTTAGAAGAAAGAGTAACTGGGCTAATACTGCAAAATTCTGAAATTTTGAAGACATTTTTAAAATATTATTAATAAATGGCCCTTAAAATAAATCTAAAAAACAAGTAAAAAAGTCATCAATATTGTCCCAGTTACTGCGACGGTGCGTTGTGTTAGCACACCAAGCCATTTGCGTTGCACTGCGCCAACTCCTAAAAATTCACTGAGTTACCCAGGCCTACTAGAATTGTTGAAATTTATAATCCGATTTAGGCCTTAATTCGTCTGTTATTAAGAAATGAATTTTGCTTCATATATATAAAAATGAATAAATACTAGTAAAGAAAATAGCTAACGAAACAAATTAATCAGAAAATATTTTAAGGAAAAATAAATTGAAAGCAATTGTTAAGGTTAAGATATCTAGAGAATTATCTGTTGTGCCAAACAAATAATTAATTTAGCAACAGAAAAAAGTAAATAGCCTTAAATCTACGCTTCTATTTATGCAAGCAAAATATTTTAAACTGTATTAGAGTAAAATGAGAAGAAAAACTCTAAATTAGACACGAAAAAGTTTTCAATTAATAATATAATATAATGTGTAACAAGTGGTGACGAATTAATGAAAACTTATATATATATACAAAAATATAAAAATCGAAGAACAATTAAAACGTAGTAGCATAATTTGCAACTAATCTTACAAATAAAAGTTATATTATAAAAAAAGAAATTCTGTACATCCTGATGTCACTGTAACTCAAAGTAGAGCTCTAGAATTTTAAGAAAACTGAACTTACCATGAGGCTATCCATTTCCGTATCCAAATAATCCTCAGATAAAAACCAAATAGACTTTAAACCTCTAAATTCACATTTTAATATTTTACAATATCAGCAATTTTAGGACTTGCACAATTTTCCTTACCCATCATTAAACAGTAGCTCGATTCGACAAAAAGACATGAAAACGGCTGACGAAATATTAATGGGACGAAAGAAGCTATAACCGATATCAGGTTATAACAAAAAAGCAAAATGTTACAATTTTGAGATTATCATGAAGAAAATCTCAAATCGTAAAGCGGGAATTATCCGGTCTGACACATCAGTACGTATTGATCAAAACTCTATTGAAAATTAATAACAGAAAGACAATAAATTCAACAAATAATAACAAACAGCTCTGTATCGAAATGAAACTGTTGAAAATAAATTTCACTTAAATGAAATAAACAGGTCAAGCAACTATGAAGTTCCGGTCCAGACAAACCTAAACTAGCCCAACGTGTACATAAAAATTCCGTGTTGACGCAAATTGGAGGAGGAAATATTCAAACCGTTTTCGTATTTATAAATGCATTAACTGATCAGCAAAATAAACAAGTGATTTTCATTACTTTTCCATTACTGAACACTGAATAAATTACCTTCAAGCAAAAATCTACTCAACTTTCTCAAAGTGACGCAAAATCAACGAGTTCTAATAAAAAAAAATGCCTTAACCAAGTCTAATACATATTTACACGCCTACAGACTAATGTAAAGATTTGTGCAAATCTATGTGCAATGAAAATTACGTTTTCGAATTTAGTATATTGTATTGCGCACGGCCATGCCGCATACGCTTAACCCCAGGACATGCTCAGGCAAATTTTGCTGCATTATTTAAAAAAACAAAGCCTTAAGGGGAACTCAAATTAAAATCGTTGAACTTGATTGATGCCAAAGACAATAAGGTATTTTCCAATTATGAACTGAACCCTTAATAATTATCCAGTTTGCGTCAACTTGCGCAGCAACAAATTTGAAGATTTCCTATAAATTGCAAAGTGCATCAAAGTTGAATCAGTTCCAGTGAATTTGTTGTTCCACAGATGTAAGTTGAAGAAGCCATAACAAATACAGATTTTTCTGTTGGCACAATTTTATAATTAAATTTAGATTTCGCATGTCCGTCACAATGGAAAATCCGGAGTTCGTCCGGAACACCGGACTTTTTACTGCATCCAACACCTTTCCATTGCTGTTGGTATCGGTTATCAGTTTATATTACGTATATTGGAGAATTTCGAGAAGGCGAATGCTCGAATTGGCTGAAAACCTTCCTGGACCCAAAGGATGGCCCATTTTGGGCAATGCTTTAGAATTCACCGGGTCGCCACATGGTTAGACACAAATTCTTCAAGCAATTAAATTATAAAACGGGGATAATTCTGATATTTTCCAGAAATATTCATGCGGCTTTACCAGAAAGTCGACGAGTTCGGAAGAGTGATTAAACTGTGGATTGGACCAAGGCTGCTCATCTTTTTGATCGATCCTAGAGATGTTGAAATTGTCCTCAGCAGTCATGTCCACATTGATAAGTAAGTTATGGAAAAACCGCTTTATTAAGATTTTTGTTGCAATCACTGGGTGCTGTTGCTGTGCAGTGCCCGGAAGAAAAACAGGAGAAAGTTTATCTATCTACTTGTATAAATCTATCGCTATTTCCAAGTATTGGATTTCAAGTTAAACTGTGACAAAAGCGATTTTTCAATTTGAAGAAAAGTACCATTGTGCGAATTGCAGATCACCAGAATATCGATTCTTCAAACCGTGGTTGGGCGACGGTCTTCTGATCTCCACTGGGCAAAAATGGCGAGCTCACCGAAAATTGATTGCTCCCACCTTCCACTTGAACGTTCTGAAGTCTTTTATCGATCTGTTCAACAAAAACAGTCGCGAAACAGTTGATAAACTCAAAAAGGAAGTTGGGAAGGAATTCGATTGTCACGACTACATGTCCGAGGCAACCGTCGAGATTCTATTAGGTAAAAAACTAAAAGGATTTCTGCAAGTCAGAAGCGTAATATTTCGAAAATTCTCCAGAAACTGCAATGGGTGTGAGCAAGAAGACCCAAGACCAAAGCGGCTACGACTACGCAATGGCTGTGATGAAACTGTGCGACATTCTCCATATCCGCCAAACTAAAATCTGGCTGTACTCCGACTACATCTTCAACCTGACCAAACTCAGCAAATACCAAGCCAGCCTCATTAGCGTAATTCACAATCTGACCCGGAAAGTCATCCAAAAGAAAAAAGCATATTTCCAAGAAGGAATTCGAGGATCCATGGCGGAAGTTCCCGAAGAACTAAAAATGCAAAAGTTCGACTCGAACGTTCCTACTAAAACTACCACCGTTGAAGGAACATCTTATGGCCAATCGGTCGGACTTAAGGACGATCTTGATGTAGACGACGATGTAGGTGAAAAGAAACGAATGGCTTTCTTGGATCTGCTGATCGAAGCTTCCCAAAACGGGGTGGTAATCAATGACGAAGAAATCAAAGAGCAAGTTGATACCATCATGTTCGAGGGCCACGATACGACTGCTGCCGGATCCAGTTTCTTCTTGTGCCAAATGGCAGCGCATCCAGAGATCCAGGAAAGAGTGGTTCAGGAACTGAACGAAATTTTCAAAGGCTCAGACAGGCCGGCAACGTTTTCAGACACCTTAGAAATGAAGTATCTGGAAAGGTGCTTATTGGAGACCTTAAGACTGTTCCCTCCAGTGCCTATTATTGCTCGTCAGCTGCAGCAGGACGTGCAACTGGGTAACTAACAAAAAATTCATACCGAGATGTTGAATAGCTAATTTTTGCGTTTTACAGCTTCTAACCCTAAGTTTAAACTGCCTGCGGGAGCAACAATTATAGTGGCTCAATTTGGAGTCCACCGATTGGAGGAGTACTATCCAGAGCCGGAAAAATTCAATCCAGACAACTTTTTGCCTGAAAGAGCTGCCGCCAGGCACTACTACTCATTCATTCCGTTCAGTGCTGGTCCCAGAAGTTGCGTGGGTAAGTTCAAATTCAATAATTCTTTTTATTCGAATGAATCTAAAAGTGTCATTTTTTTATCATAAGCGATGATCATAAAGAAGCACTTTTCTTTACTGTTCATTTGCTTTAGAGGTGTGATAAGCGGTTATTTTTCTGTAACTGGTTACAACGTTCCAGTTTCACTTTGGTAATAGGTTTCAAAATGCGGTTCCAAAAGGAACATGTTCCTTTCTACATTTTTCATTAAAAATGCAGAATGATGATGGTTAGATAAGTAAATAGTGATGATATATAATGATTTCCTTTATTCAAAACATAATTATTAACATTGATCAACTTAATATAAAATATTCTAAAATCAAAAACAAAACATGGGTCAGAAGTAACTACTCAAAGAACAAAAAACTGATAATAAGCCAGAGTGATTAAATAAAATATAAGGCTTATGTGCGAAAATGTTAAAAAATCTCATTTTCACTTAAAAATGTATTCACATTTAAGAGTAAAACTTTTTGCAGATGCTTTTTACTGATTCTTGTTCTTCGCGCGTTTATGATAGCACCCGCTTTAGAAAATAATCTCTAACATTTCGTATCACAATAACATTAAATAATGCACAATAACACCAAACAGAAATACGTGTTTGGCAAACTTGGACGAAGTATTACTCGAGATAATTTTGGTACAACCCAAAAAATTTTTTTTTTACTATGTCGACCTTACAACGCTTATTACTATTCAAATAATTTCCATTTCATCTCTGAATTTATATTTAAAAATGGCCAGCTTGCTTAAATGCAAGTGCACATTCTGCTTAGAACGTTTGTTATTTTACATTTTATCTGTGATCGAATTTATGTCTTAGATTCTTAGCTTGCTCCTAGCTCATATGCAAGTACACATTCTGCTTAGTTTGCTGGTAATGGGCATATAACCCCTAAGTTTCTTGAGAGAAATTGCTTTTTTTAAGATTTGTTACAGAATGTCAGAAAACTAAATACTTATAGACTAAAATTGCTGAATTATATCATCGCAGCAACTAAACAAATGTTCGCTGGTTCCTGGAGAACTGAACAGTAATTCTTATAAACGAAAAGTCATACACAATCATCAAGGCAACGCGCAACTACACACAACATATTTTCCGTTGACAAATGGTTACTGAAACTGCTGCAACTGGATAGAGCGCTTCACGATGCCGCATCGGTTCTGTGCTGAAACGAACCACTTTTTCACGTTTATGAGACGGTTCCAAAAACAACCTTTAAATCGGCAAACAGCTGCAGCTGGTGCGAAGTGCGCACAACTGTTCCAGGTTACACGTTAAATAACCGATCATCCCTAGTGCGCACCGCTGTTTCGGTTTTATGAGACCGTTCCAAAAAAACCGGTTAAATCGGCTAGCTATATCTACAGTTTCAGGTTACACGTTTGTAATACTGTTATTTTAGCGGTTAAGTTAAATACCGACCATCCCTAATTTGTTTTACTTTTACGCACAAAAAAAATCCGTTTTTTGTATCAAAAACTACTATTAAAAAATTATAAACAAACAGTTTCATCATCATTTTTTTTTATTAGGACGCAAATACGCCATGCTCAAATTGAAAATCCTGCTGTCTACCATTTTGCGAAACTACAAAATCTACTCAAATCTCCGCGAAAATGACTACAAATTGCAAGGTGACATTATTTTGAAGAGAGAGGATGGTTTCAGGATCAAACTGGAGCCCAGAAAGACTTGCCCCTGTTGAGTAGTCCTTCATGGATTTAGGTGTTTGTTTGGCTTATATTTATTCGAATACGATCCATTGTAACAAAGCCACTGTCTTTATTAGGAGAAATATTGCTAAATTGTATATTTTTAATATGATTTACTCAGCAAAGAACAATAAAGTTCATATAAAGTAAAAATTGAGTTTTTTATTTGATTCTGAGCAGTTAGCAAAAATGTGCTCACTATAGTCAAATAGGCTGTTGCTTACCTAAGATGCAACGTTTTTTTATTACCACAATTCACAGCTTCAGACCACGGAAGAAATTGACGTACTGTCGCTTGTAACGTTTTCATTGATTTCGGCTTCGTCTGGAATGGTAAGTTGCAAATCATCGTCAACCGAATTGTTCTGCAATAAAAAATGATAACTTTGTCTTCATATTACCCTTGGAAAATTCGGAGTTATCTTCAACAGGGCTTCAAGAAATAGAACTTTTTCTTCTGATTAAAGAAATTTCCATAAATTCTTAAAAATCTCATCAATCAATGCGAAATCCCCCCAAAATATATGCAAGTAACTGAAAAGTTTCTCTGCTGTCGGCACTTTTGTTGAAATGCGTTCTTTTCTCTCTCCATCTAAAGGAGGAGAACGTTAATTGCTGTTCTTTAAACATGCAAGTTTCATTTGCCTTCGATCCTGCTCTCCTGGTAAACAACCGATTAAATCGGCGTTTAACTGAACTTGGTTCAGTTAAACGACGGTTCAAGCGGCGGTTGAAAGAAACCCCTGGTTGAATAGCGTGCGCCCTCCCACCCAAATAATTAGTGATAGGCACTATCGAATGATTTGGACTATCGAATAATTATTAAATGAATGATTGCAACTATCTAATAAAATTATTCGAATTAATTCATTCATTGAATAGTGAGCGCCATCTAGTACCTTGTAGAAAAGTTACAAATTACAAACTTACAGTCTTCAAAAAATTTAGATTAAATCATATTTTTAATAATAATATTCCTAAGTTTGATTTTTGAATATAGATGTTTTCATTTTATCGAAATTCAACATTAATTATTAATTTAATTTTTGTTTGATAGATGTATTTTTCTTTTTTGTTGTTAACTATTCATATAAATGATGATGATAAATAATGATAAATACATTTATTTTATCTCAACGTTTGCATTTCCTACGTTTTTTGGAAAAAATATAGAAAAACTACAAATGAGTCGTATTTAAGCCTGTTGCTAATAGTAGGTACTTATTCAAAATGCAAATATCGATATAGCACATTTTTAATAAATTAATTTTTGATAAAAAATCAGTATCAATAAATAAATATTGCATATATCTGCTTAAAAAGTGGAAAATTTATTATTTAAAGTCTGAATTCGTTCATTGCAATCGATTTAAAGCTATCTGATTATCCGAAATTAGAAAACAAATGAATAAAACAATGCTATCGAATAATTCAAATAACATTTTAAATTACAACTATCGAATAACTCGCTAGTTTTTATTCGATAGTTGTCACTGAATGAAACATCGCTATCGAGTAATTCGAATAAAATACAACTATCGAATAGTTTCATAGTTTTTATTCGATAGTACCCATCACTACTAATAATCCCTGGCAATTTTGTAGAATCGGGTTGATGTAAGTAGTTTATCGAATTCTCCTCATCCTCCTGGACTCCTGGTAGCAAAACATTAAAAAAACCACTTAAACTCCTATATATTTGTTTGCTTCGATGTGGATCCTGGAAACTACCTTCTATTTTAGACTTTGGAAGTGTGATAAAAAAAATTTCATGTTTTTAGGGGAGAAGGAAAATAAATCTAAAACCGAAGTTGCCTCTTTTGCCATCCATCTGATTCACATATCCATATCTGCCCGGGCCAGCAATAGAACAGAGTGCATAAAATAATTATTTCTGATCGATTTTAATTAAAAATACTTAAGAAATATTGATACTATACCTTTGATACCACAATGCTGGATAACGCATCAATATCCGAGAGTTCATCCTCGAAGTCAACAGCTAAAAACTGTTCCCAAGCAGTAGCATCCATTGTACTGGTCAGAATATCTTTGCCAGATAATTGAATATTTCTTTGCTTCCAAAACGGCTCTCTAAACAACACACTTTGTTAATTCCTTAACTCATTCCATGCTCCGTTGAACCACCTGGAATCCTTCCATTTGGCCAGCTTCAGGAGATTTTCAAACCCATCAGCAAATCGCTTATCAGTTTTTTGCAATAGCGGAATATATAACGGCATCAACTCCAAACCTGTGTTACCGGAGATAAAACCAAGCAACATTAAAATCTTGATATTTACCCGATGAAAGGGCAGCCACATTCCTGACCTGATCAGCCTCCGCCATCAATCCAATCGAATGAAAAGTATGTAGAGCATCCGATAGCAAAGGGGTGGCTTTATGCGGTTCTCCGCAGGTGAGATAGTACTCTCCCAAGTACCTGTAAGCTTGAGCCAAATAGAACTGAAATCCGTGCTCTTCAGCCATGGCTTTTAGAGCTAGCAGAGTGTTGAGAGCCAAACGAGTACTTCCATGCCTGCAAGACGCTTTTCTTGCAAATTTGCTCTATTTGCATGATTTGCTTACATTAGGTAAGCCTTTGATAATTCCACTCTAGCTTCGCACATTCCCTTTTCCGACTTGAGCTTCGATTGAATATAAAATGCCTTATTGAAAGTGCTGACCGCATCTTTGGTTTGTCCCAGATTTAACTCACATTGCCCCTTAATATACAGGGCCATAGTTTCTCCGTCGTGATAACAAGCTGAAATTAAATACAAAGAGGCTCAAGAATGTAATGCAACTCTTGCGGTAAATTCTCCAGTTCTTTCTAAAGACACTAAAGACTTCGTAGGTTGATTTAAAATTGATCCAGCAGTAGTGGTTTCAGAATGATCGTTTCCTCGAAGCCTGTTGGTAGAAGCAAGAAAGTTTAAAGGCTCAACTTCTAAGCTGAAATAATTAAAGCTAAAGCAAGAAGCGAAAATTAAAAATAAATTTCTGCAAATATTTTACCTTCAACAGCACGTTTCTTAGCCAAACTGGCAAATTCCAAAGCCTGATTACAATCAATTTTAAAAAATAGCTTCGCTTGTCTCATGTAACACAAGTGTAGCAGATAATTGGCACTCATAAACAAGGTGTTTGAAGAGTCTGTTTGCTCTGGAAGAAACGACTTGACATTCCAACTTTTCCCCAACGATAGTTCCCTTGTAATACTCAGCTCCTCCTCGGCCTTTTCGAAATTCTTAACTGAAATCTCGGTATTTTTTACCCAAAGTAGCATTATGTTAAGTAAACAGTTCAGTACTTTTTTCGTATAGAATCCTGGCATATACATAGCGTGAAATTGCTTCATGCTTTCCACTAAATGCAAAAGTATTCGCAGTACAGATGCACTGTAAAATGAGATCTTCGGCAAGCCAAAACCAATCCGAGTAGTTAAAAGCAAAGTCTATGGCTACCCGCAGCATTGTGTCGAACTCATTTTTATAATTGCCTGGAAAAGCACAAATCAGGCACGTTTTCAATTGCAAATTGCCCAAAAGCACCTTTCTTGTGTTCATCTTCGGCTTGCATTAGAGCATCGCTGAGTTTCTTCAGTTCGTTGTCGCTGTGCCTCAAAGCAGGCCGAGTCCAGACAAAGCTTTGCGGTCCTGCTTCGAGCCGTAACTGTTCGTCTATTTGGAAAAGCTGTTGGATATAAGCTTCAGTACTTGCATAACCAGTTTCTTCTAATTGTAAAATTAGAGCTTCATGAAACGGTAGCTTGAACCTTTCAATTTAAATTAGTCGTGTTACGTTGTGTATAAGAATTCTCAACTAACATTCGAATATCATTCAAAGTATATTTTGGTAGTTCCGCTCTCATTCTTCCAATTTCTTTTTGCGTTTCCATCTTCCTCATCCGTTCGCGCTTTATAAAGTTTTCTTCAAAATCAAAAGTGTTCGTAACAGATTTTGATCTGCTTAATATCTTCGATCTGGAGACCGACTTCAGTCGAAACATTTCAACGAGATCGGCATACACAGGCTTTTTCTTGGCCATTCTCTATTTTAGATGTTAGATCACTTCAAAATGATGAAACTTAGTTTGACAAAATGAAATTTGATAATAAAATAACTGGTACTGCGGTCACTGAAACAATGAATTAATGTGACGGTTATGCAACATTACTTCAACTCAATGGTTTTTAATGCTATTTGTAAATATGTAAAAAGAAAATTTTCTACAAATAAATTGTTGGAAATTTCTAAATGGAATATTTTAAAAAAATTATAAGGTTTTTTGAGCAGTCTGTGATAAAGGCTTGTTTGCATCCAGTAAAGAACGAACTCTTTAAACTTGTAAAGCTGCATTTTTTTAAGTTCCCGCTTTCAATATTTCGTCGCCAGATCAAAAGAGCACTGAAAATTTATTTTCTCGCAAATTGCCAATCGAACTGTGTATAAGTTTACTGTTTTACCTAAACGAAGCCACGGTGGGTAATAACGAAAAAACCGTAAATCGCAAAAAAAACATAAAAAATACCTTTCTTGATCTCCTGGTGGAAAGTATCTACTTTCGCCACTGTTTTACCCATTACATATTTTCTTCATCCCGTGTGGAAAGTAATAATTTTCGTCACGCACGCTGACAGTTTGACATTGTCACTGACTGTCAGCTGACTGTTTTGACATTTTCAAAACCTTATGCTTTTTCCGGCTAGTTTCCACCGAGGATCAAGAAAAATAGTCTGCCCTCGGCTTCATGTAGAACAAACTCGACTAGGAAAATGTAGAACAAACAAAAATACATTCAAAAGTCAATATTTACAAAAAAATGGCCTATTCACAGTTCATTTTACTTCATAAAATTGCTTTACATCAATAAGAAGTAGGTACATTTGAGGCACTCAGAACCATAGGGGCCATATGCAACCAATATTACAGACGCCAAAATAAATTGAATAATTCCACCTACAAAGCAACACGGCCAAAGATGGTTTAGGGCCAGTGTGGTTTTAAAAGCCACTATGGTTCTGAGTGCCTCATTTTAGTCCCTTTCCACTCTTCTCCAAGAGTTTAAATGGTCGACTACTAATATAAATTTAAGTTAGCAACCGTTATTCAATTTCAATCAATAATTATGTTGACTTGGCTATTTTCCTCCAGATGTTAACAGATTTATTAGGGCAGCTTTCTCCTTTTCCTTCTTCTTGACAATGTCTATACACCGACTCCGCCAGGTACTTTTTCGCAACTTGATCGGGCGACTTCCAACATAACGTCCTGTAAACACCATAGAAAATTAGCCATTTCTTAAAAGTCTTAAATCCAATAATTACCATTCATTTCTTTCATCGCTTTGGTAAAGTCAGCTGGTTCCTTGAAGCTAACAAATCCGTAGCCTTTACTTTTATTTGTCCTTTTGTCTCTGATGACTTTAGCTCGTTGAAAGGATGGAAATTTATTGAATGTTCTGGTCAACAGTTCGTCCGTAACATCATTACCGAGGTCTCCGCAAAATATTCTAAAAATGATAATAGGTAAAAAAATGTATTAATGGTGAATCGGAAAACGCATTTTTCTTAATCTCCTGGTGGGTATCACTTTTACCCATCACACATTTTGATTTGACTGACTGACTGTTTTGACAACATTTTTAAAGTTTTTTTTTTTACTACCTTATCTTTTCACGGCTGTTTTCCACCAAGGATGAAGAAAAACAGTATACGGTACGCGAGACAAAAGTCGAAGGCCCGCCACTGCATGCATGACGCTGTGAACTTAAAGCAGTGGCGGACCTTCGACTTTCGCCTCTTGTACCGAATACTATTATCTGTTTTCCATTGAATGAAAAACTTCGGTTGCCTCGTGAAAAGTAACTATAGTAGCAAAACTTTTTTGGGGGCTTTTAATCAACAGCTTATATTCGATTGGCAATCCAACCTTTACAGTATTTGCTCAAGCCGCACTCAAAAAAAATCATACCTGAAATCATCGTCTGCCCAGTCTGTAAGCGAATTATCCTCCCAAGTTTGGCCTCCCGCCGTCCTCGTAAGTTTCCTGTTTTTAGACCCCTTTCGTTTGTAGTCTTCTGGGCCAAACGATTGGAGAGCACTACTTGCCTTTCCTGTAAAAATAGTCAAGAATTAAGACAATGCATCCTACTGATTAAAAACCGTAATTACCTTGAGAAATGGCCAATTCTGCGCTAACTTTCTCGTTCTTCAGTTTTTTCAGTTTCTTTTCCACCTCACTTTGAAGTGCCATAAAGTCCACCTGCGACTGCGATGTAGCAGGCGTTGCGGGAGTTGCAGCTGAAGCAGGGGCCGGTGCAGGTGCAGGGGCAGGAGCTTGGGGTGCATGAGACATAGTTTTCTGGTGCGCTAAAAACACATAAATCATGAATATCCCGGTAAATTTAGAGTATAATCGAATGTCTTACCGCGATAGATTGTAGGCTTTGCCGATACTACAGCAGGAGCTGAAGATAACACTTGTTGAGGGGCATAGACCTTCTTCCCAAGCTGATGGGGAATCAGCATACGTTGCTGAGGTGGTGGAGGAATGTTCCCAAATCCTGGGATATATGTTGGGCCTATAGCGAAGCCACCCATCATTGCCTGGCCAGATATTTCAGCCTCAAACCTATAACAAAAAATGTTACTTGTTATAGTTGCCAAGTAATTCCTGAAATGGGTTTGAAAAATTACGAAAACAACCTTTAGCATCTTGTGGTGCTTGTGTCGTTTAAGTCCCTCAGAATTTTTAGATTTTGCTTTTTTTACCTTAAAGAACACTTCAAATTAAGCACTTTTGGCGGAAAAATTTCCTTTTGTTTGTTTGTTCCCTCACAAAGTTTGCTTTGGCTTAATTTATCGACCCTTCAGGAAAATGTTCACTGAGAGTGCTTACTTAATTTAAAGTGATCTTTAAGGTAAGAATAGAGAAAACTATAAATTCCGAGGACTTCACGACACCTTCATCTGCATGTATATTGATCCCGCATGTGTTGGGCTCGCATGTGTAAAGAAAATACCAAATAAAACGTGCACAAACCTGCTCATCTCGTCTTCCATTTGTCTAAATCGGTCCATTGCACTTTCTTCTCTATGGCACAGATTACAAACTATTGGTCACCTCTATGGTCTATGGTAAATCACTTTTTCAGTTGTTCACTTGATTTCACTGTGTACAAGTTCATAGATGAATAGTCTCTTGATAGTATTGATAAATGCTTGTTTCTATCTTTGGATCAATCGTTTTGTCCTACTTGTCATAGATAAAGACACTTTAGACAAGACAAGCTACTTGTCTCTTGTCTTTATCGGAGTTGTCCACCGTCACATGTGTCACTTTATTGAAGCGGCGATGTCATATTGTGGTATGTATCATTCAATCCAGTGAAATGAATCCAGTGCATTGAACCAGTTAAAAACCTCTGATTTTCTACAACTTTCGAACTCTATCCTTTTAATGTAATAATAATTAGTATATCAGATTATTTCAAAATACAAGTAGCTCGTGTATGGCATGGTTAAAATAATATTTAATGTAAAAATTAAAGTATACGTCCAATGACTTTTACGATGTTGCCGAAAATAGATCATGTTCCACGTGCATGCAAACCAAAATAAATCTGTAATTTTGGATTCGAGCACAAATACTACGGCAATCACTATACTGAGTTTAGTATAGTAAAAATAGGCATAGATAATTATTCGCATGTAAAAAATGGAGATCAATGATATATAAAATTGACATATCCCAAAAGGTATAGAGTTTTAGGGAGTTTTTCGCTGGGCAAGGGCACATGTCCGCATTGTTCTGACATAAAATTCCCCAGATCCTTGTTTCCGGAATAATCCGAGTTGATATGTAGTGAAAACAAAATCGTTCCGTAATTATTTCAGCTAAAATTGGCCTTTTCAATAAAAATGATGCATTGAAATGTAAAATGTATTAAATTTAACAGTTGCGAATATGAACGGTAAGAACTTTTTCAGTCTGACTAAATCAGAAATTTGCAAGTTTCTTTGTAGACCTTTGGCTCTGATCATTTGTTTGTGTTGGTTCTTTAAAAATATCACTTATTTCGTAGAAAATTGAAGATTCTTACTTATAGATATCTTTAAATGATCAACTGAAAAGTCGAGAAAGACATAATTTATCCCTTTATCTTCAGGTGTCTGTGGAAAAGACAGGTGAAAAAGTAACTGAAGTAATGAATGAAGCCTTTGCATTTAACACTTAAAGGGGCTTTTTGCCATTCAAAAGACACTGTGTTTTCGTTTTAGGAATTCCTGAAGTATCATTACTCGAGAATTACGGTACATTAGTTCGCCATTACAAAAAGTATTTTTTATTGGATAATACCATCCATGTGGACTCAAAAACATAAATAGAGTGCACTGAATGAATAATAAGAGCATTTCAAACGGAATGTACATATATTACTTATTCAATTTTCTGTTCCTGCTGTGTAAACATTTGCAACTTTAAGCTCTATTCATCTCTAAATTATGACGAATGATGGGGTTTCTTCGTCGGGTTTTCTATATAAGACAATATTCGTTACTTAAACCCTTCAAGGCTTTTGGAGCAACCAAACAATCCCTTGTTTGTGTCATTAAAGAAGCATGTTAATTCATGAGAAAAACTCGACATTGTTTTACCTTCTTTTGGGTATCAACACAACAAAACATGCACGCTTTCATTGCAAAGGCATTCCGAGTACGTCTCAGAGAAAAATATTCTGCTATCTTAAACAATCGCTAAATACCTACTTTGGAGAGATCCGCAATGGAAAAACACCTAGACTGACTCTTGCCTGCCGTTATCGTTGATAGTTTTATAGACATTAAAATACCTATATAGAAACATGATAAAAAAATCGCTTAGAATGAGTCGAAACTGTCTATTATTTCGAATCTTAAACTTCTAACGTGATTTTCAATTAGCTTGTACTAGTAGACTGCGATGTATTTTGAGAGAGTTTAAATTTTGCGGAAAAATAGACCTCTACCCCTTATGAAATTTTCTGCCAAAAACCAAAGTTTTCCTGCCTGTTTTGATTGCTTCCTATCTGAGTAGCTCCCCAATATGCAGTAATATGTGAGTTGGTTCGAGTCCATAATAGTGAAAATATATTTGATTAAAGATCGCAATTGATCAAAAATCGCGTAAAGCGTAGAAAAATGTCAATTGTCTCGAATTTGAACTTTGCAGCGTGTTTTATATGAGCTTATTGCGTTGAAAATTATGTAGAAATCGATGCATTTTTAGAGAATTATTATTTTTCGAAAAAATCGACCTCTACCCCTACGAGATTTTCAGACAAAAATAAAAATTTTACATGCTCATTTTTTGAGCTCAATGGATTGCTCCAACATAAGAAGTTCTCCAATATGCATATATAAGTTGCTTGTATATAATAGGGATAATTAATGACTGCAATCGATCAAAAACTACTTAAAACAGACCAAAAATGTCAGTTATTTCAAATTTAAAATTTCTAGTGTGTTTTCAATCAGCGTCTTGCATTACCGGTTTCCTTGGAATAAAAATAAAAATAAGGAGTTTCCTTGGAATAAAAAAATAATAATTGATAAATAGACAATAAATGACTGAAGCCCTCAAGAATTGATTTTGATAAAAATAAGGCAAAATTCAATGCATTTTGAGTAAAAACATATTTTCCGGGTACAAATCGAAATTTTGCATGCGTCTTTTTTTTGCTTATTTTATAATTATAATTCTCAAATACGTTTTAAAGACACGGCAAGAAACTGGCAGAAACCGTGCACAAAAATAAATGAGAGCCAAATGAGTCGTCCAAACACCAGAACAAGAAGTCAACAAATGCAAAAGTGAATGTAGGGAGAGTATTTGGAAAATCGATTAATTCAAAAGCACATTAATTTATCATAAAAATGATATAGGTAATATTTTGAAGATGAACAACATTGGAGATGGTTGTTTTGTCCCCAACACGAACAAACAAAGAAAAGCAGCAACCTTGTAGCATTCTGGACCTTTTGACTGACAAATCTTCAAATCAAATAGTCTGTTAAGCGGAAAACTTGTTTACGGTGTTTGAGTGTACAATAAGGAAGATATCGCTCAAAGATAGTGGCCGCTTAAAATGGGCCAAAAATGCCAATTACATATTTCGAATCTGGAGCTTCTGTATTGTTTTCCAATGAGCTCGTTGAATTTCTCGTCTCATTGTGATGAAATTAAAGTAGAATTTAAGGCACTTTTATACCGATATTTATTGAGAAAATTGTTGACCAAAAATCAAAATGTTACATGCTTGTTTTTCAGTTCACAGGATTGTTTCTGGTTTAACAATGTCCGCAATTTGCATATATAAAGTGTTTGAGTCTATAATAAGGAAGTTACCATCGGTTATATTGGTAGTTTCTTAATATACATGTAGGTTTCCAATAGGAAATCAACCCTTACATTGAGCTATTTAAAAAAATATTTTTCTTAAAACTAACTCATCACATTAATCTTTTACCATCACAAATCCTTTTCATAAACTAAATTTACTTACTAGCTTCGACATCGTTCTCCCAACTAATCATTTTTCCCGCTGTTCAACTTCTTAAAGGAACATTAATAAGAAAAATACCCATCTGGTCTGTAAAACTCATTCGTTATTTTGATGATTTCGAATGTTTTGCCATTGATCTATCAACTAAATTGAAATGTAATTAGGCTCGATAGCTTCATATAATCTTCAAAGAGCAGTTACACTTCTATTCTTTGGTGATTGATTTTAGCTCTCTGGAAGCGTGCTTTTAGTCATTTGTTTAGCTGAACTAATTAACTCCCTTTAAACGTTTTTTTTTTCATAATATATACCTAGTTGTTTAATAACATACTTATGCTAAATCTGACCCATTCATATTATGAACCTGCATGTACATTTACTAACAAAATACCCAATTGGTAAAAAATATTTTTTTAATCATCATCAATCAATATCAAAATTTTTAGTGTATAATTCTATGTCTGGCATGACAGATATTGGTATGGTTTGGATGGGATCACCGCCGGCAACCGGAGAAGTTCCCGTTGGAATCTTACCACCTGATTCGAACGAAATGCTTTTGGATCAAACCGAAAACATGTACTACACTCCATCCCACCACAGCATGTCCAGCCAATCTATGGACGATATGCACAGCACCATGCAAAGTTCCCACATGGTAAGTGACGGCAAAAACTATAGAAGCATCTTGATTTTCTTCGTTCACTTTAGGATACTGGAGAAAGCTTTGACATGATGCACTTTATTGACATGAAAACTGAGCAAAGCAACGATTCAAGTTACATGGAAGATGATAATTCGGCGCCTGTGTATATGATTACCACAGCCACACAGACATTACCATATTCCACTGGAAAAATTAAGCCTGTAAAACATCCGGGACTTGTGTTGAAAACTCCCATTGCGTATCAAGGGAACACTGATCTATCAGTTATTCCCATTCAGAAAGATGGAATTGGTTAGTAGCAAGATTTTCTTAAAATAGAGGAGCGATTTCTATCGGCAAATCAATTCCCAACTTTTTAATAACACTTTTAATGAATGAGTATTATGTTATTATTCTAGCGGTGTGCGAAAAATGTGGAGCAATAGGCGTCAAACATGCTTTTTATACGAAGGAAAGAAGATTCTGTTCCCTGGCGTGTGCTAGAGGATATAGCGGCTTTGTACCTGAATCAATGCAATCATTGCCACAATCACAGCCACAATTTAAGAACCTTTACGCTAAATATCGTTATATGATGATGGATAAGAGTGACAACGAGGACGACGACGACGATGACTATTCAGATTGTTATATCGACCCCAGGTAACTGCAAAAGTCTCTAATCTGTTGATCATGGTAATAGTAAAGCTTTGAGAAGTGGAAAGTTTTTTTATTGGTTTGTTTTATGCAATCAACTTTTCTGCTTTCAGACTGCCTCAACTCGAGAAATATTCTCCAATATTGGATGGTTCTGCATTAAGTGTTAGAAAAAAAACCTCTCAATTGAATTCTTTCAGCTGGGATGCGCAACTTAGTGATAGATATTTTGTTGCTGCTCCTGTAACTTGTTTTAAGCATGCTCCCATGGCAGATATTTGGGAGAATATCATGGTTGGAATGAAGGTAAGGCCCAAAAAAAAATTGAAAATTGCGCTATTAAGCAATGCTTGCAGTGATTGTAACTTGCATGCTTACGTTGTTAGGTCGAAGTGGAGAATACAGACTGCGGTAATACAGACACATTCAACGACTCGTTTTGGGTGGCCACCGTCATGAGAATCGTTGGGTATAAGGCACAACTTAGATATGAAGGATTTGGAGCCAATGACTCAAAGGATTTTTGGGTCAGCTTGTGTTCAAATCAAGTAAATTCATATATGTGAAATGTTTTTTTGCTATTTCTATTCTTCTTAATTTTCGTAGGTTCATCCGGTAGGTTGGTGCGCCACTAGAGGAAAACCGCTTATACCTCCAAAAACCATAGAAAATAAGTACAGCGATTGGAAAGATTTTCTGAGTAAACGATTAACTGGTTCTAGAACACTGCCGTCAAACTATAGCAATAAAACCATCGAAAGCCTTATATCCAGGTGATTTTTTCTGATTGAAATTTCATGATTGTGAAACGAATTGTTTCAGATTCGATGTTGGCCTTAACCTAGAGGTAGTTGACAAAAACCATATATCTCAAGTAAAAGTAGCTACTATTCATAAAATAGTTGGTAAACGACTCAACGTTAAGTACTCTGATATGCCTCATGATGACGCCGGATTTTGGTGTCATGAAGATTCTCCACTTTTGCACCCAGTCGGGTGGGCCAAAAAGGTTAGTAGTTGACGACATTAAAACTAAGTTATGAACAAAAAATCAATTTAGGTCGGGCACCATTTGATAGCTCCCATTAACTATTTAGAGCGAGTAAATCAAGATATATTTGACGATGAAGATGCAACTGAATACTTCTTTAATCCCATACAAATTGGATCGCAGAATTACCACTCATCAGGTAGAAGCATGTTCCAACTAGTTTCATTATCTATTGCCCTATTTATTATAATAATATTAACTTTAGGATTTGCTGCCGGGATGAAACTTGAAGCGATTGACCCATTAAATCTTTCGTCGATATGTGTAGCCACAGTGATGGATGTGCTTAACTATGGCTATATTATGATTCGAATAGATACTTACGAGTCAGACCTTTCAGGTACAGGTAGAGTAACATTTTAGCAGTTGTTTTCAACGATAAGTGAACATGTGCTAAACAGTTCTTTTCAACTATTTCAGGTGCCGATTGGTTTTGTTATCACGTCAAATCGCCATGTATATTCCCAGTTGGATTTTGCAATAAGCACAACATTCCTTTGACACCGCCAAAAGGCTATGATCAGGTATCAAAACAACGTACCTTAATTGAAGCACTGCTACCAATTTTTTTATGGTCGTAGGCAACATTTGAGTGGAATTCGTATCTCTCGGAAGTGGGAAAAGTTCCTGCAGATCCGTCTTTGTTCAACACGTATGTGCCGCTGCATGGATTCGTGCCGGGCATGAAAATCGAAGCTGCAGACTTGATGGATCCTCGACTAGTTTGCATTGCAACCGTCAGTAAAGTTGTTGGCCGATTACTCAAAGTAAGTTTTAAGCTACATGAATGTTTCCAAAATTCGGTGATAATTAAAACAAACTCTTTTAGATTCATTTTGATGGGTGGGAAGATGAATTCGATCAATGGCTGGATTGTGAGAGTTCAGATATCTACCCAGTGGGTTGGTGTCAGAGCGTTGGTCATAAGTTGGAAGGACCGCCTGTTCAAAATAAGCCAAATACGTCTCAAGTTAAAAGCCCTAAAGGTAAAATACTCGAACCAGGTAAATGACAAAGCCACGCCAATTAATCTTCATTTATTCCATTGACTTGAAACTCCCATTTTAGTTAAATAATCGATGCATTTCATAAGTGCTTAATTTTTTCAGTAAAACGAAAATATCGCAAAAAGAAGAACAAAGAAGGATCAAAGGCCAGTTCATTTGGAAGCTCATCCACTTCACATTCTACTAAAATTTCCAAGGTAATTATTGGAGTAAACGATAAACTGAGCTAATTTATATCGGTAAATTTAGAGCTTTCAGACTGAACCTTATGAGTTTGGCGAGGACGAGGAGCCGTTTAATGACGAGGACGCTGAGAAAGAGGACGGGGATGACCAGTCAATAAACATGGACTCAAAAAGTGTTGATAGCGAGGATAATCCAGGTCCAGAAACCGGTTGGTTGCTTTTTTCTAGCCGTGTTTATTGTAATTAACGCTATTTTTAGGTCAAGAACCGGAAGGACCCGATCAAAGCCTGCCCGTTCCCAGTAGTGAATGTCAAGTAGCTCAGAATAACATTCAAATTAGAAGCGAACCACCAAAACCTCCATCCGAAAGAAAACCTTCAGCTCACGTAAGCTTTTATAATATCGAGCACTTTAGTTTTATAAAAAATAAGCCTTTCTGATTAAAAGTGTCTGCTCCCCTGTAAACACAGATCCAATTGTTGACACTAATTTATGTTTATTTGCAGGTTTCTACTAATTCAAATCCCAAACTAATTCCTAGATTAGTAGACAGCTCAAATTGTACAAATGAGTCAAACGCCGAATTATGCCCCAATGAGTGGAATGTATTCGATGTGGCCCAATTTTTGAGGGTGAACGATTGTGCCAATTATTGCGATGCATTCAGTAAACAGGTAAATTAGAAATAGGACCAGGCTGGATATAAGCCGCTAATAATTTATATGTTGCGCAAGTTGCATCCAGTTGTGTTCTATTCTCCGCATATCGCCACGTCGGTGGTCTGCCCTGACTTCTATCTTCACGGGTTCTCCATTCTAATAGTCCTTTGGTCCATCAATCATCGTTGAGGCGTGCTATATGGCCTGCAAATCAACATTTTAGCTTTGTTATTTTCTCTATGATCTCTACCCACGTTCTTAGAATTTCCGTGTTCTTTACGTGGTTTGTAATTCTTTATTTGTATTTATTTATGTTGTTTTTAGTGAGCGTAAGTGTTTCGCATCCGTATGTTACCACTGGAAGCACATATTGAGTGTCACCTTTCTCTTAAGGCTCATGGGGCATGTTCGCTATCAAATCTTCTTCGTCTAGTGCCGTCTTCTACTGGTTGGCATCATTATGGCTATCTGTATTTTGGAGACAGATGCGCGAAATAAGGATCTAGTACTTCTTCTATACCACTCTCCAAGTTTTTATCCACGGTGTCCGTCTTCATCACGGTGCTCGTCGCCCTTCAATTTTTCCCTCTATTATTAGCTGAAGGAAGCGGCATTTCTCGCCCCTCATAACAAGTTCCAAAGTTAGTTTAAGATCACGGTCTTTGTATTTAGACGTAACAAGACATTCCGTAGTCAGTTCAGGAAATCTTAGTATGCGACGATAAACCCACATTTATATAGCATAGGTTCAGTTTATTTTCCAGTCTGTAAGTGATTATTTTGGTGAAGAATCCCGCTTTTCAACTTTGAGGAAAACAATTTTCCAATTGTTAGTCAGTGTTTTTATTTCTGTTGTTATGGCTATTAATAATGCATGATGCGGTTTTTTACATTTTATTAGATATTGCTCATAATACATATACATAATAATACTTATCAATACAATCACGATCACTTTTGATTAACAAACCGGGTGCTTCCTTTACAATGTTACCTGGTTAATGCGAATGCAAATTTTTAAATAAATTATACCTTCTAGAACAAAGGCTGACTGTTATACATACATAATACTATTTACATAACGAAATATTCGAAGAACTAAGAGCTATTAAAGCTTAAACATCCACTTTAAGACTTGTGTTCAAATTCACTCAATATTTTATACAACATATCCTTTATCGGCAGCACAGTGTACAAAGTAATCATCATATATGGACTGTGCTGTTGTCTTGAACTCTTCCACGTTCTTTGCTTGCCAAAACAAGACTGCAGATTCAAATTCCGTGATGAGTGCTTTGACTTTAGACGTGGTATCGTTATAGTTAGTTGCAAATTCGTTAAGCATTACAATATCGTTCAGTACGGCAGCCGTTGTAAGGCAAAGATAAAACGGTGAAAAATCGGTAAAGTTGAAAGGGCATTGGTAGATTCTTTCTCGAATTGTGTAGGTCATTGCCAGGCTAGTCTTTGAAGGTTCCACGAAGTGTACTGTGGTATAATTGTCAAATACCTCATTGATACTGTCCAATTTATTATCAATTTCTTCAATGGAAGATTGAGATTGAGTGTGAATTTGGTGAATTGCCGAATAGACACATGAACTAATATCAATGCCTGCAAGTTAAAATATTGTTTAGCCATTTGCTTATTGACATTCGTTTAGTAAGTACTCACTTTGAGTGAAAGCTTCGTGTCTCATCGATTCCAAATTTCTGAAGTGATTGCTTTGGATGTTATTGATTTGTTGAATGTTTTGGTATCCTCCATAAATGTCTAGCCCTTTAGCAAATTGCTGAGCTAAAGAGACCGATACTTTAATGGCCAATAATGCCACTTGCTGCGATTCTTCTACTATCGCCTCCAAATTTAAGATAAATGAATTGTAGTCGAATGTATCCGATATTACCAGGCCCAAAGTTTGCAACTTTTGCTGGATAGGATCGGTTGATGTGTATGAATATTGGGGCAGAGCCTACAAGTAGTCATGCAGTCCATTAGTTTACTATTTTATCTTTACTACTAGTCACTTCACAATTAAAATAGGTCGTTTTGAAAAATATTGAACTTACCTTAGTAGCATACACTGCAACACAGAAAATAGTGAAAACGTTGCTGATCATTTTGTGCACGCTTGTTACAAGATTAGTATTCAAATCGCAAGTGAATAATCATTCAGGATGTTCAACTATTATATATCTCCAGTACTTCTGCACCAAAATGTACTTGTTTTTTCCTGTATAGCTGCTCATCATCATTAAAGATGTGTTTTGCAGTCTCTAAAAATATCTGAGACCCTTGTAGATAAAATCTCAGTTTGAATTACCTTTTAGTATTATAGGGTGATTTTTTGCAAATAACGTCCATATAGAGTAATTATTACAAGCAAATTTAATCGATAAAAACTAATTTTTTGTTTAGGCGCTGTGTGCAGATTTTGAGGTATAGAACTTAATTTCGACTTTAAACCTGGAAATTGGTTGTCTAAATGTATGTTAAGGGTTTGGCAAAATGTTGTCAAACTAAATGTTCAGAATTCTATGAAACGTTTTCGGATTTTGGCTACTCTGTATAAATATGCGTGGCATTAATCAGCGCTTTGAAATTGAAAGACAAATAGCCGTTTGTTAAGTGTTTACAAATGCTTCAGATTTTTTGAACTCCACTGTGGCGCGTATTAATACTAGTGCACTTGTACCCTGCATTTATCTGTTGGCTCGGCTCAATTGATTAAAAACAGCGGATTTTTTACATAACAGTTATGTACATTTTTGGAATATTCTTATAACACGTAATAGTTGTAATGATACAGCTGATGCAATGCACATAATCCGCAGTAGGAGATAAGCATTTTAATTGTGATTCATTATTTAATTAGTGACGTATGTCGTACGGAATTTCAGATTTTCAGCCAGTGTTCTTGCATTTTTTGACTGGCTGAAATCGCAGAAAAACTATTATTGTTTTGCTCCAAAAAAATATTATTTATCATCTCTCAGCTGGTTTTCGCGTGTTTAGTAAACTTATTTTGCTAGGAGATAGCAGATTATGTTATCAACATATGTACTTTAAATGCGTTGCTTACTATTTTTTCTCTTTTAGAAAATCAATGGAAAATTGCTTTTGAATCTCAACAAAGAGGATATTTTGGAGTACACTGGTGGCAAAGTGGGCCCCAGCTTGAAAATATTCGACCTCATTCAGCAGCTAAAAATCAAAGTAAAGCCGGCGCAACTGCGCCAATTCAATCTGAAGTCCCACATTAAAAAAGTTTTATAGTGCCTGCACAGTTAATTAGGTATGTATAAGTAACTTTTTATTTTATTAATACACTTTCATATTAGGTTTGTTGAGCTGAGAATCTAAAATTGAGCTAAAAATGTTATTAGTTTGCTTATTTAAAGGTTGCATATATGTTAGCAATTTCTATTGGAAATGATCTATGCCATTGTTTAATTTGAAAGTTACTTTAAATGATTAGCAGGTGTTTCTTGAATTATTTTAATGTTATAATTTACGAATATAAGCATGGCGTTCGGTTATCGCTAAGGATCGATATGTAATTGCAAATACTTACAAGTTTTACTGATACTGGGTGACTGGGTCAATAAAGCGTTGAACCAGCAAAACTATATCTGATAACACCCTGAAATATTTGTAATGGAAATAAATACGTTCATTTATAAACTTTCCATACAATAATTGTTTTTATTAGAAAACAAGCAATTTGAACTACAAATTTTATCAATCATCAATTTCGTAGTTCAAATACGTTCATTTATAAAATTTCCATTGAATATTTACAAAAACATATAATATTAACGGCAGAAGCAATGGTAAATATGCTTAAAATTGTCAACGAACAACACAATATGTTTTTAATTTTGGCTCTACGAATCATCATTACTTTGATATTTTCCGTCATAGTAGAAACCACTTTTTATATATTTTTTTGTTTTCAGGTAGACTCATCATTGAGCAATCTAGCTCCATGCTGGCCTTGAATATACGCTTTGTCAGTTTAAAATATGGTTCGGACAACCTCAATTCAAGCTTGAATTTTTAAGGGTTTGTTGCTGCCTGCCAACATTTATTTACATACATTTTATGACTGTTAATGAGTATTATTGAGCATTTTATTTCAGTTGATGATTAACCCCTATAAGAAGGGTTTGATTTTAAAAAGCAGTCATAAAGTAAAGTATATGTACATAGATACTTAAGCAGACAGGACACAGGTCGATTCTGTTCATTGGCGTCATTCATTTTAGGATGTAAAAAATCAAACCAGTGTATGAGTAAAATTCACTGATTTATCATTCATCATCATCAATCAGATTGTTGGTGAATTTTATTGATTGGGCATTTATCATTTTTTCAATCAAATTGTTGTTATGCAAAAATCTTAATTTTTTTGAGAGAATTATTATACTCCCATTGGTTCTGTACTGCCCCACACAAATAACTGACGCCAATTTGAAGTCACCTTGTAAACGATGTAAATAGGAGATTACTTTAGACAGTTTTTAAGAGTATTTTAACAGAATCTTACAACAAGAATGCCAGTGATGGGTATAACTATATACTTGAATTGTGTACACTCTAATCAGTATCTCGATATGTTTAATTGAAACAGTCTAATATGAAAAGTAATAAATGAGCATTCATTTTGAAGCAAATGCAGAATGGAATAAATTCTTCTCTTCACTGAAACTTAACCAAAAGTATTTAAAAAAAAACAAATAGACGAAAACTTGGTTGACTCATAAAATCAGTATTTTAATGGATAGTTCTGCCATAGAAATTATTTTACTATGTATTTGTCAGCGCCAAATATCGTTAGTATTTTTAAAGCTTAACACATCGTATAAATATTGAGATATTCTTATTTTCTTAACGGAAAGTTTGATTTATTTTATAGCCATAAATAAGTGTAAAGGTTTGTGATTTGATTCCCTAATTTAATCTTCTAATGTTTGATTATGTTTTTCTAGAAAATTAAATTAAATTTTGTCTCATTTTCATACTTAATAAATAAATATTCTAAAGTATTGGAAAATTGTTTAAGTATCTACCTTTTATTTGATAGTTCTTACAAAGGATTTCAGTTTTTTTGAAATTTTGTTGGTCATTTCTCCTGATCGAATCAAATCGAACTGGTTTAATTTAAATCTTATTCCCTTATTTTTTTAGTTTTTGATCAAGTCATAAAAATTGCCTTAACACATTTCTAAGAAAAAAGAATTCACTTTTCTTCTTTCAGTTATGGACAAGGAATGGAAAGGGAGTTTATTCATGTTTAATTCAAAATTAATTAAATTCGGTTTGAACATTAAAACTGACAAGGGTTTTGAGATCTGTATTCATAAATATACTGTTAATAAAAATCAGTGTCAACACGAGGCCATTTTGGTCGTATAAAGTTTTTGTTATCATTATAAAGTGCCTCATTTTTCAATTCTGCATGTGCAGATTTTTAAATTATTTTAGGCGTTTTAATGAAACTTGATACCCCAGGACCTATTAAGAAATATATTTTTCTGCGCTTGAAGACGCGAAATGCAGCAGCGTGGTTTGCAGTTGATATAGTTTAAAGTCTCTGACTATTCTTTAATTTATGACAATATTAAATATAATGTAATAAGAAAATATGTTCTTATTAGTTGACTCGCGTATCTAACAGTTGAAAATTCTTATTTTTTTATAGGCATTAAGAAATGTTTTGGTAAAGTGCTTTCTGTTTGTCGATAGTATATCAAAATTCACCTTTGCGAATATCTCGTCGTAACTAACCCAAACCGAGGCAATTTTCTTAATTGTTTTTTTTACAACTTCTTTTTGGGTATTTCGCCTCAAAAATGTTTGTCTTTAAAAAAGACAGAATTTCGTCACGTCTTTTATTACAGATTGATAAATAGTGCTCCTATTTCGCAATAAGAACGAATTATTTATCAAAAAGTAATCAAGAACTATCA